AATGAGACAATGTGAGTAAATGTGTGTGTGTTTGTGTGTGTGTGTTAGTCACTCAGTCCTGCCCGACTCTGCAACCTCATAGACTACAGCTTTCCAGGCTCCTCTGTCCAGGGAATTCTCCAGGCAAGAATACTGGAGTGGGCTGCCGTTCCCTTCTTCAGGGAGTCTTCCCAACCAAGGGATCGAACCCAAGCCTCTTGCACTGCAGGCAGTCTCTTTACCATCTGGGCCACCAGGGAAACCCAACCCAGTGCATAGTACATGGTAAATATTAAATACCGTTTTTATTATTGGGTTGGCCCCAAAAGTTCGTTTGGGCTTTTCCAATGGAAAAACCTGAATGAACTTTTGGGGCCAACTCAATATTACAAATGTAATTACGAGTGTAATTATATGAACTTATAAAAGGGTAAGTACAGGATTGCATGGAACCATAATAGGAAGAGCTAATCTCATCAAGAGACCTTAAGAGAGTATGGGAATTAGCTAGGGAAATGGTAGTAGTGAAGAATGTTAGAGTATCATGGGAATAGGGAAGTGTTATGACATGAAACGATGATGGAGGGCCTGCTAAGATAAAGAGTGATTTTGAACTTTATCCAAAATGGCATTGGTAAGTCATCAAGAGCCCAATTTAGGGGTGACTGTTAACAGAAAATGTTTTAACTGGTTGTTAAACACAGCCATGATTAAAAATTATGTAAGTTTGCATTTAAGTAGATTAAAAACAAAGGTAATATATATTAAAAACCCACTACCTAGTTATTTTACTATTATCTACACTCTTAAGGTTACTTACATGTATGAAACCTGTATGAAATAAATGATACAGAATAGAGTAGTACTGTACATTTCTTCCCAACTCCATGATCAGTGATGTCATGTTGGTAGCTTAAAACCAGTTATGGTTGGAGTATTTATATCCTGCAAATTGGACAAACACTACAAATCAGGGCTTTCACCCTTCCCCGGAGATCCTGTTGTCAAACATTTAGCAACACACCATTTACTATAAAAGAGCAGTTAGAAGGATATGAATGGAAGCAGTGAACCAGTTAAGAAGTTGTTTTAATACTTCAATCGAGTGGGAATGGTGAGAAGTCAAGGGAGGATAACCTCCCAGCTTCTGGGTGGCTGGTGTTTCCTTTTATGAGAAAGGGAATATGGGAAATGTAGTTTTGAGGGAACGACAAGTTCAAGGGTACAGCTTTAGTATGCTGAATGTGAGGAACTGAAGAGACGGGGAAATAATTGAGACACTTCATCTAAAGGTCTACAACCTACTGAAGATTTGGACTAGAAATACTGACTTAGGAGGCATCAACAAATAAATGTTAATCAAGACCGCAGGAACAGCTGCAATCCTTTTGATAACAATGGGCTAGGTTGTAGAGTACTGGAGGAGACTGAAGTCAGGCCAAGGAAGTAAGATGAAAATCACAAAATTAAGTGTCAAATTATTCAAAGTAGAGAGTATTTCAGGGAGGAAATGATCACATGCCATGAAAAAAGATGTAGGAGTGACAATTCATGTTAGCAAGAACAGCTTCAAAAGATTACTGGGGAGACAGTCTGGAATGGGCTGAGGAAGAGAGAAGAAAAATGGGGACAGTAAGTTTAGGCAATGTAAGTTGTATATGGGGATAAAGAAGTCTACCAATGTCCTAGGAAAGGAGTGAATTAGATGTTAATTACGAAATAGGAATTAATTTTATTATGAATAATGCTATCTTAAGGCCTAAACTTCTAAGGTTACACATGAATATGTTAATTTCATAGCAAGCAAATGGTCAAACATGGAAAGGAGGTACATATGTTAGCGTACCACCACACATCTCCTAAACATTCATTGTTAGTGCCTTGACTCCACCCTCTTCCTCATCTTCCAAATCAAATTGCCATATACAGTAGTTTCTCCTCAAACATTTCTCAAATCTGTCCACCTCTTCCCGTCCCTACTCTCAGTTCCACTCTACTCTAGGCCACTGGGTGGAGTCTCCCTTATTTTATTGCAGGGTCCTAACTTTTTTCTCTATCAGTTTAGTGCTTATCATGTCAGCATCAGAAGTACATTGTTTAGTTCCACTGAGCTGCATCAGGATTTCCCTGTGAAATAGTAAGTATGCTAACATTCTATAATAAGCTCCTTTCTCAGCAAATTCATCTCATGATGATGCTTAGCCAGCACTTTAGGTGACACTCTAATTCTCCACACTGCAGCCTGAGGACTTTTTAGTATGGAAATCTAATCACTTCATTCTTTGTAAGCCTTCCATAGCTACTCAAGAACTCACTGGATAGAATAGAATACCCTTAAAAGTATTGTACAGGACCAGATTTATGTCATCTTTTGGTCTCATTTGACATTTCACATCCTTTGAGAAGTGTTATTGGACTTTCCAATGCTAAGTTAGGACTCCCTGAAAGTCTCTTCTGTGGCACTTAACCATAATTATTTATGTTGGTCTTTCTCATTCCAAGTCCAGGAAGGTTAAGAATCTTCTGGATCCTTAGCACCATGTCAGGTGCTAAGAGCTTGGGACACATTCAGTTCAGTTCGGTCATTCAGTTGTGTCTGACTTTTTGCAACCCCATGGTGCTACCATGGACTGCAGCATGCTGGGCTTCCCTGTCCATCACCAACTTCCCAAGCTCGCTCAAACTCATGTCCATGGGGTTGGTGATGCCGTCCAACCATCTCATTCTCTGTCCTCCCCTTCTCTTCCTGCCTTCAGTCTTTCCCAGCATCAGGGTCTTTTTCAGTGAATCTGTGCTTTGCATCAGGTGACCAAAGTATTGGCGCTTCAGCTTCATCATTAGTCCTTCCAATGAATATTCAGGACTGATTTCCTTTAGGATTGATTGGTTTGATCTTGCAGTCCAAGGAACTCTCAAGAGTCTTCTTCAGTGCACTGATGCTCCAACAGTTCAAAAGCATCAATTCTTCAGCGCTCAGGCTTCTTTATAGCCCAACTCTCACAACCATACATGACTACTGGAAAAAACCATAGCTTTGACTATAGGTACTTTTATTGGCAAAGTAATATCTCTGCTTTTTAATACATTACATGGATCAATGAATAAAGCACTACATTTGCATGACATACATGAAAAACATAACCACAAGGATTTTAAGTGGCAACTTTTAATAGGGGGTACATTTAGTAATAATGAGGTGGGAAGAAAGGTCAAGGATATCATTTTCTCAATTCTAAGATCTTATTAAGTTGCAAACTATGTAAATGAAGAACTGTTTGCACTTAACTTCTTGAATGCTTCTTTTGTTTTTGAATATTTCTTTTCTTCAAGCAGATGGCAGGCACTTGCAGAGAAGGCAAATGTTACCAAGTCATTATTTCATGCAGTATTCAACGTGCTTTCCAGAGTTATGGTTTGACAGAACTAAAGAATTTTGACTGCGCTTCAGCAAATGAACGAAGAATGTAACCTGGGTTCTTTGTATACTACTCTGTTCTAGTAATAATAGAAAGCTTATCTTTTCCATTTTCATTCACAAAGCTTAATTCTACTGCTATTAATGACAATTCCTCCGCAGTTACTGTATGTGACTATCAGAAATCTTAAACGCTTCCCATGTCAATATAGCTAGTGAGAACTGACTATATAACAGGAACGTAGTCGGCTTTTTAGGTGATTGCTGACTTGAAAAGGAAGATCTCGCTTCCTCTCATGGCGTCATTAACATCAAGACCTGGTCGAATACACAGGAAATAAAAGAGCAGAAAATTAAGGTACCCTCCTGTCACTTACTAGAGAAGGACTAATCACTGTACAGAACTTGAGTAAACCTTCCCCGAAGGGAGAGAAAAACTGGACAGATGTGAGAAACACAAAACGCAAAAACGACGCGTCCCTGCTACCCAATAGCTAAGTTAGAACTGGTAGAATCCTCTTGTTCTTTTCACACAAGTGATACCGTCTAGGAACTCCCGTTCCCGTCAGCCCCACTCCCTGCCCAGGTTACCTGTGGAAGCTGATGTTAATGTGCTTGTTGTAGGTAGTAGCACAGCCCGCCGCGGCGCAATTGGTCGGCATTTCCCTTTCCACCTCATTCGGCGCTGTCTTAAGCCTGATTTGAGGCGCGGGATGCTACGCTTCCTTCGGGTGGACCCTAGGCAAAAGAGGCTGGGGAAGGGCCCACTGAGCTGAGTTGCCAGAGATGGCTGGGAAGAAGGGGTGTGTGTGTGTGCGCTAGCGCACGTGTGTAAGTGTGTGTGTGTGTGTGTGTGTGTGTGTGTGTGGCGGGTGGGGGGCGGGAGGGGTCAACCTGCCCTTTCTCTTTATTAATATGGCGGACTTGAGCCAGCAAAGCCGACGGTCCTGGAGCTCCAGTCGCCCTCGTTTGCCTTCACCAACATGGCGGACGCAACCCGCCCTCTCCCCGGCTCCGGAAAGGGAGTGGGACTACAGCGTCTCTTTAGCTGCGGGTCACCGAGCAATTAGATGAGGTGTGCTCTCCTATCCCCCCTATTACTATGAAACTCTCTTGAGGCCAGGATTAAAAACAGGCCCGCCTACGCCGCCACGCACCCCAAACCCCCAAAGACCAGTCAGGAATAGCTACGAGCCTCAGCCTGGAAGGAAAACCTCAAAGCGAGCGGCAATAAAAAAAGACTACAACTCCCAGGGAGCATCGCGCTCTCCTAATTATTATCGCGTGAATTGGGAGCCTTGTTTCCGGCGTGCAGCAGGAAGTGACGGCCGAGCAGAGCCACTTCCAGAGCCACTTTCTCGCGAAGCGGAAGAGCCCCGATCGCGGAGGAGCAAGGGGGCGCTAGGGTAGGGAAGAGGTTGCGACGGTCCGGCGAGAAAGAGCTGGGGTGCGGGGAAGTTGGGGAGCAGAGCCCGCTAGGTCTCCAAACAGGATAAGGCCGCACCGACCGGGTCCGTTAGGAAAGAAGGAAGCCGAAGAGGAAGGCAGTAGTCGGGCGGATCCCCGGATAGAGGGCTAAGGTTGTGTGGAAAGCGCTGTTCCCGGGATGGCGACCGCAGATACTCCGGCCCTGGCTTCCAGTGGCCTCTCGCCTAAGGAAGAAGGGGAGCTTGAAGATGGGGAGATCAGCGACGACGATAATAACAGTCAGATACGGAGCCGGAGCAGCAGCAGTAGCAGTGGCGGCGGGCTGTTACCGTACCCGCGGCGAAGGCCTCTTCACCCGGCCCGGGGCGGTGGATCCGGCGGAGGCGGTGGCTCCTCCTCGTCGTCGTCCTCTTCTCAGCTGCAGCTGAGGAATTTCTCACGCTCGCGGCACGCGTCAGAGCGGGGCCACCTCAGGGGACATAGCAGCTACCGACCCAAAGAGCCGTTCCGGTCTCACCCGCCCTCCGTGAGGATGCCTTCCAGCTCCCTGTCCGAAAGCAGCCCCCGGCCGTCGTTTTGGGAACGGAGCCACATCGCCTTGGACCGTTTCCGTTTTCGAGGCAGGCCTTACCGGGGTGGGAGTCGCTGGAGTCGGGGACGAGGAGGGGGTGAGCGAGGAGGCAAGCCGGGGGGCAGACCTCTGGGAGGAGGAGCGGGATCCGGATTCGGCAGCAGTCAGAGCTGGCGAGAGCCCTCTCCACCTCGGAAGAGTTGTATCCTTAACGTGGCGGTCTGCCCTGGGTGTGTCACTAAAGTTCCCTTTAGCGTCATTACTGGGTCTGTGAGATGAGTAACTTTTCTGAACCGTCAGAACCGCTCATTTGTCATTGTGTCAATATACTTAACGTAGGTGGTTCCTCGGTAAACCCGGTGTGTCAAACTGCAGCGTTGTTTCTTAAAATTGCTTGATTGGGTATATTGCTTTTTTAACAGTAACTTGTTTTGGATGGGGGCCAAACTAGTGGAATCTAAGTGTAAAATCAGATTTGAAATACTACATCACAAGTCCAGGTTTCATTAGCCTTTGTTTTTGTTAGTAAACTTCATTATGTGAAGTTGTTTTAGATTGTTAGAGGGAGAAAAAAGCATTAGCCGTAAAAAGTTTGAGGAATACTGTTGCTTATATCGTATTGCATGGCCACATTGAAGATTATGAAGTGTCGATACACCGGGTCCTAATGTTTTTATTTGTGATTTTTTTTTAACTTTTCTTGATTTATTCTTATACATTGCTGCGTTTTAAAGTTGGGGGAAAAAAACCCTGGTGTCACCAACTATTAATTCAGAGGTTTGAAATTCATGTATCTTTGGCAGAAGCGTTACCTCCTTAACTCCTCTATTTCTTATGTTCATATTTTGGGCATTTTATAACTCAGTGCTGACAGTTGTGGACTAGAGAGAGAATGAAACTTAACAGCATTTTTATTTTAATATATTGGAAACCATGGGGTTTAGGGGGAGGTGGAGCTAATGGAGAGGTTAAGGAGGAAAATAGCAAATATCTGATTCTTGTCCCCTCTAATCTTATTCTTAGTTATCTTAAACATTCCTGAGTTTATTCATCTGAGGATTTGCTATTTTAAGATGTGTTTGTAGAACTACCCTTAAACAGTTTTTTTTTTTTTTTTTTTATGTTTAGGGCATGTATTTCAAGATACAGCAAAGTGATGCAGATTGTATATTTATAGTAATTACATTAATTAATATTCTTTTTCAGATTATTTGTAGAACTGTGTCTTGACATACTCCATGATAATTGTGTCTTGTCTCCGTGATAACTGCATAAAAATAGTTTATAGAGAATACTTATTGCTGATTGTAATTTCCATGCTGTAGTGATCTTTTAATATATTCATTATATATGAAACTTACATGTAATGACATTTGTTGGGGAGACACACAACGTTATTTTCACAGAATAGTTAAGACCAAATGGTCTTTGCCAGATGTCAGGATAGAAAGAGGACCAGAAATGTAGTTTAGATGAGGAGGAGCTTCTGATGCTAGTGCTCTGAAAAAACTTATGCAGCCACAAGTTGGGTCAGGAGCACTCCAGGATTGTTTCAGGAAAAAAATCAATAGGTATTTTAACTTTTAAAAAGAAAATGTTCTTTGAATAAAGATAGACAACCTTAGCCCAAGATATTTTTTTTAACCAAGGATTTGTTAAGTTGTCGGTTCTGAGCCTAAGAACAGAAGGGCTTTTTAATTACAGACTCGTAAATTATTTAAGAATACAAAAATGAGGTTTGACAGAAAACAACAAAATTCTGTAAAGCAATTATCCTTCAATAAAAAAATAAATTTTAAAAAAGCATAAAAAAGAATACAAAAATGAAACTTGTGTGTTGAAGAGACAAATGTTAATTATATTCAGTGTAAAAAGTTCAAATTGAGGTATGTAAAAAGTACTATGGGAGCTTAAAGTTTTTTCTTAGCTTATTTTATGTTAGAGAAGGAGGTGATGCATGGACTTGCCTACTTCCTGCTTTTGCCTCTTTCTGTCCATGCATTCGATATCAGTTTGGCCTCTGCCATATACCTTTATTAATTGTTAACCTTAGATGTTTTTATTAATGAACAGGCATATGGTGTTGTGAAACAAGTATAGAAAGTATCCAGTCTGATTTCTGTAGTGACTTATCAGAAATGATCTGTCTTGCTGTTTTTCTTTTCACACATCCTGCACAGGGATGAATGTTTTGATCCTCTGCTCATTGTTTTCCTTGTGAAGTAACATTAATGCATCCTAGAGGTGGAATTCTTTATAAAAATTTGTGAAGAGAAACATAGTTCCCAGCCTCTTTTATGTAACGGGAGCAAATAAATTTTGTAATAAAAGATTTTGTTACTTTAAATTCCTTTAATACCATGATTATACTAAGTTTAATTTTTATTTCCACTGTGTGCTTGTAATAGTGACATTTTTATGTTACGAGTATTGCATTTAAGAAAGAATAAGAGTTATTCTGTGACTTATTTCCGTAATGTAGAAGTGAAGTAGCATGAGTACAGGTGAGTATTTTTTAAAACTTTTTCAGTAATAATTAAAATATGCTAGATGCAGCTTTAATGAAATAGAATAAACCAGATTCTGTTGGAGGTAGTTATTTTCATTCCATTCATTTTTAATTTTCCTTATTGATAGGCACTTTGTCGGTCAGTCTTAGCATATGTCTTCTTTGGATGGCTGCAGCTTAAACTTTCAAATCTGGTCATAGCTAACATAAACCGGATTTCGGTTAGAAGCTCCATGTTGACCAATTTCATATTAAATAATTTAAGTGTTGGTTTCATTCTAACTGTTCTGTATAGGTAGAAGTAGGAGACTTCATTTAGCTTTGAAGGAGATTAATTAGTCATAGCTCAATTGATTTTCCTTTTTTCCTGTCCTTCAGTTATTTTATTTTTTGTTAGTGTATTGAATCTTTTCTCTTTCTGAATGTTTCCAGGGACTCCAGTCTTAGTTTTTTAGTTGCTGTGACTCCATTGAAAAAGTGAGATTTAAATGTAGATAATTACCCAAGTTTATGTACAAAGAGTATGTAATGGTGGGGTAGGTGAGCAAGTAATTATCTAGCTTCACATAGCAGAGGGCCTTTGAATTGGGGTCAATTTGAAGACCAGAAAAACCTAGACACAAAGCTATGCATAAATTGTGATAAACCTGGAAGAGGTAAGATTGGAAGGGAATCATGAAAGCATTATATGCCATTGTAAGGATTTTGGACTCTATTCTTAGTGAGATTAAAACAAGGGATAAGATCTGATTTGTGTTCTAGAAAGATTAACAATAGGATGGAAGATGGCTTGTGGGAGATGGAACCCCAAATACCTACCACCAGGCAGAACTATGGGAGTGCATTGGAATGCTCAGAAGGGAAAGAGAGAGGCTAAGTAGGCCTCACTGGAGAGCACTGTTGTTGAAGCAGTTGGGAGAGAAAGGTCTCATTAAAGAGCAAAAAAAACCCCAAAACCTAGAGAAACAGTTAGAGAAATCAGATGGAATGAGGTTTGAAAACACGATGGATGAACTCAGCCAGCAGAAGCCAGATTCCATTTGGTTGAGGAGGTAATGAGAAACCAGTATTATTTCAAGAAACCTAGCTCTAAAAAGGAGATCAGAAAACCAAAGACTTGCTAGAACAATTTTGCTGCAGAACTTTTAAAGATTTTCAGTTGTAATGATCATTTAGTTTCTAAAATACTTGGTGGTAATTCCCGTTCTTAAATTGGTTATTAGAGAAGTTTAAAAATCTTTGCAGATTGTCTGTCCAGTAAGTTGTTTCACAGAAGAAACTATATTTAGGGAAATGTAATGTTATATCCTAGCCAGTTTAATGATCTGTTAATGCCTTATTGTGTTAAAACCAAATAAAATACTTGTCTTTTATTAATTTCTAGACTGGAGAAGTGAGGTGGAACAGTTCTTACATGTGTGAGTTATTTTGAGTAGAAATTTTAGTTTGGAACTTTGTAGCCACTTCCAACCATGAAGTTGTGTTTTATGTATCACTATGTTAAAGAAAAGAAAGACCAAAAATAACAGGTTTTAGATATCCTTATCTTCAAGGAAAAATTAGTTTAGAAGATACATCTTGAATACAACTTAAGGTGTTTTTTTTTAAAAATGGTTTCCTTGTCTTAGTTGTACCTATTTTGGATGTAGTATACTTGATGAGTTCTAAGATTGCTATGTGTTAGGTTTTCAATACAGTGTTTCTTATTCATAACTTAGTCTTAACTGTTAATTATCAGTGTTTATTTTTTATCTCTATTTTTAAAAATTTGAGATAAGAAATTAATTAAAAAGAAGAAACGTCTTCTGATTATTTGAAGTGTAAATTATCAACATCGGTGACAAACCATTCAGTTTCTTCCCTCTTCTTTCAGAAACAAATCTTTAACAACCAGCTTATTATGGGCTTTCCTGATGCCTTCAGAAGGATGCTGTAAACTAACTAGGTGCTGTTCCTGTGGATACTGTGGGTAATAAGTGACACTGGTGATCTTGTAAGTGCACTGTTTATATGAATACTTGTTAAATTTGAAATATGGTCACATAATGAAAGTGCTTAACACATAACAGCACATGTGTTAAATGGAATTTAGTAATTTAAAAATATCAATTCATCTTTGAAAAACACAAAAAAGGGAGACAATTCATCCATAACTTAATGTGTTTTTGTTAAATTAACTGGAAAATTTTTGGCAACTGGTTTCCTTAATATGCTGTTCAGCCAAAAGTTTTGGAAGATCTCCATCAAGAAAACAGAATTATTCATCAAAAAGTGAAAACTGTGGGGAAGAAACTTTTGAAGATTTACTTTTGAAGTATAAGCAAATACAGTTGGAACTAGAGTGCATCAATAAGGATGAAAAACTGGCTTTGAGTAGCAAAGAGGAGAATGTGCAAGAAGATCCTAAAACGTTGAACTTTGAGGACCAAACAAGCACTGATAATGTCAGTATTATAAAAGACTCAAGTAAAGAAGTAGCTCCTGAGGAGAAAACACAGGTCAAAACTTTTCAGGCATTTGAATTAAAACCACTCAGGCAAAAATTGACTTTACCAGGAGATAAGAACCGATTAAAAAAAGTTAAAGATGGAACAAAACAGCTTTCCCTGAAATCTGACACTACTGAATCTAGTCCAGGTAATGGAATTTAAAATTTCAGTTAGTGATGACATTTCCTTCAAAGGGGTAACTGGTTATTTTGGTAGTGTACTTCATTGAAATGATTCTAATATTTTGTCTGAATTCTTTTTGCACTGTCTACATAGTCATATTGTTGGATGATGACAAATTCTGTTTCATTTTGGCCTTAAGTGCTGATCAGGGCTAATAATACAATTTAACATAAGTGGTAATGGGCACTTTTGTTCCCTAACTTACAGGGGATACTTTTGCCATTTACTTTTTTTTTTTTGATTGGAGTTTAGTTGCTTTACAATGCATTTCTGCTGTACAGCAGAGTGAATCAACCATACATATACATATATCCCTTCTTTGCTGTTTACTTTTAGACATAGTGTTGGTTAAGTTTATTGTAGGAATTCAGACCTCACCCCCATTCCTTGTTTGAAATTTTCAGCATGAGTGAATGTTGAAGTTTATCAGATATTTTTTCTTCATTATGGAGAAGAGCATTTAATTTTTCTTGTTTATTAGTGTAATTTCTAGTTTATTAGTGTAATCAATTATATTAATTGATTTTTATAGAGTTAAACTACTGTTGTATGATTGGGATAAATCCAGCTAGTTCATGATACATTATCTTTATACATCATGGATATGGGTTGTTAATTTTTCCTTTTCTTCTTTTATCTGAGTGTATATTTAGATGCAGTAAAAATTTATCCATTTAACTGTGTAGTTTTTTGAGTTTTGACAGATGCAAGCAGTTGGGTAATCATTGCCAGCCATCACTATTCAGATGTAGAACAGTTCCATTAAGTCCTGCCAGTTCCCTCATGCCACCAACCCTACTTGGTAACCACTGGTCTGTTTTTCTGACCCTATACTTTTGCCATTTCCAGACTGTCATATAAATAGAGTCATGTAGAACATTTTTTTAATCCTAGCTTCTTTGATTAGTGTGTTTGAAATTGATCCATGTGGTTACATGTATCAGTAGTTCATTCTGTTTTACTGTTGAATGTCCCATTGGATGGCTTTGCTACAGTTTTTTTATCCATTTCCCACTTGAGGGACATTTGGTTCTTTCAGCTTGGAGCAGTTATAAAACCTTCATAAATAAAGGTTTGCTAATATTTGTTTAGAAATTTTCATCTATGTTCATAGCCTGTAGCTTTGTTCCTTGTTTTTCCTTTCAAGTTTTAGTATAAGGTTGGTAGTGTGTCCAATTCTTTGTGACTCTGAGCCGCCAGGCTCCTCTGTCTATGGGATTTTCAGGCTAGAATACTGGAGTGGGTTGCCATTTTTTCCTCCCGGGAATCTTCCCAACCCAGGGATTGAACCTGCCCCTCCTTCATCTTCTGCATTGCAGGCTGATTCTCTACTGGGTGGGGGAAAGGGGAGCCTAGTATAAAGTTACAATGCTCATAATGAGTTGAGTGATTTTCCCTCTTTCAAATAGGTTTAAGGTTGTACTCATTCCTGGGATATTTGGTAGATCTTGCAGGTAAAATTATCTGGGGCAGGATGGAGTTTTTCTGGGGAGGTTTTAAACTACTGACTGTTCAGGTTTTCTATTTCTGGGTAAAGCAGTTTAGGTAAACTGTAATTTTCTAGTAATGTGTTCATTTCCTGTAAGTTGAACAGTTTATACTAAGTTATTCTTAAATGTCTTACCTTTTTATTATCTGTAGCATTTATAAATTTTCTCTCCCCATACCTTTTAAAATTTCCTCAAAAATAAGTTCCCTGCTTGTTAACTCATTAATTCTTAGCCTCTCTGTGGTATAAAATTCTATTAACCTCATTTTGGGCTATAAATTTTGCCTCCCTGATAGCTCAGTTGGTAAAGAATCCACCTGCAATGCAGGAGACCCCACTTCCATTCCTGGTTGGGAAGATTCCCTGGAGAACGGAATGGCTACCCACTCCAGTATTCTGGCCTGGAGAATTCCATGAACTGTACAGTCCATGGAGCTGCAAAGAGTTGGACACGACTGAGCAGCTTTCATTTGGGCTATAAGATTTCTATTTTAGTTACATCTCAGCTTGTGATATGTAAATTTTTTTCATTCAGTTCTAAGTATTTTTCTAATTTTTGTTGTTCTTTCCTGTAGGTTATTTGGAACTATTAACTTCCAAGAATGTAGGGTTTTTAGCTGTTTTTTGTTATCCACTTGTAAGTCAGTCAACATTGTCAGAGACCTATGTGGTACCAATCTTACGAAATATTTCTAGAGACTTGCATTACTGTCTAGCATGTGACCAATTTTTATAAGTTCTTTGTGTGTTTGAAAGGAATGTTTGGGTTGTTAGATCAGGCTTTTATGTTCACATCTTAGAAGGAAGATGTAAACAGTTTTTTGACCTGCTTAATCTATCAGTTACTGAGAGGCTTGCTAAAATCTGCCAGTATGGTGGTGGGTTTCTGGTTTTCAGTTTTTACTTTAAATACACTGAGGCTAGGGAATTATTATTCTTAAATTACTATGTAGTGACCTCTATGTCTAGTAGTAATTTTGCCTAAAAGATTATTTTGTCTCAAATTAATAGCCAGCCATACCATCTTTCTCTTCAGAAGTGTATTTTTTTGTATGTCATTGCCTGGTCTTTTCTGTATCTTCTTGTTCCAAAGGTTATTTGCACATTAAATAGAACCGATTTCATTTGTAATTTAACCTGATAATCTTTGTCTTTTAACAAGACAAATATAATTTGTTCACACTTTTTCATGATTACTGATCTTTGTATTTCCTTTTTTTCTTCCTTGACTTTTTTTGGTTTGTTTTAAAATTTTTTTTTCTTTTACTGGTTTGACAGTTAGATATTAAGTTTTTGGTCTCATTTTGATTCCTTTAAGAATGGTAACATGAATTGTTACCAGTGTTTAAAGTTAATCAAGGCATTTACCCTCTCCCTGATACACAAGGACAGTTTTTGCCTACCTTTGGCCATGTATTTAACTCTTTCTTGACTCACTCTTTTATATCTAGAATCACTTAGGCATAAAATATGTTTTTAAGAATTTCCATGTAGTATGTCTACCATATGAAAAAGTTACTTCTGCTTACCCCCCTTAAAAGACAGTTTTCCCACTTTTAGAATTCTAGATTAGTTAATTATATTATCAATATGTTGAAGATATTTTCTGGCTTCCATTTTTTTTTTTTTGTAACCTGTGAACAGCCCTCATAATTTCTTAATTGACATTACAAGCAAGACCAAAATTTCTCTGTAACTCTAATTTTTATAATGAATTCTATACTATTTCTATATACTATATTCTATACTATTCAATCAAGAAAAAATAGTCTCATTTGCATAAATTACCTTAAAACATACAATACGCTGCCATAAAAAGAGCTACATATGTATCAATATACTTTTTAAAAAGTCTAAATGCCTATCAATATTCAACCACCAATTTAGAAGATCAATATGAAGAAATAGTTAAATATTTTAAATCAAAGAGACTTAGCCCCTTACTCTAATATATATTTCTTAATTAATAGCTGTTATGGAAATCAAAACTTTTGATGCTATTAGTACAATGACTGTGCAAAAATGTCTTTGGCTTTGATTAGAGTTGGAGAAATGTAAAGTTATATAATATGGTAGATATTTTAATTTTTCTGTAGTATTGCCAAATCTGATGACAACTTTTTTTTTTTTTTACAGTTCTTTTTTTTTTTCCATTTATTTTTATTAGTTGGAGGCTAATTACTTTACATCATTGCAGTGGTTTTTGTCATACATTGAAATGAATTAGCCATGGATTTACATGTATTCCCCATCCCGGTCCCCCCTCCCACCTCCCTCTCCACCCGATCCCTCTGGGTCTTCCCAGTGCACCAGGCCCGAGCACTTGTCTCATGCATCCAACCTGGGCTGGTGATCTGTTTCACCCTAGATAATATATGTGTTTCGATGCTGTTCTCTTGAAACATCCCACCCTCGCCTTCTCCCAGAGTCCACAAGTCTGTTCTATACATCGGAGTCTCTTTTTCTGTTTTGCATATAGGGTTATCGTTACCATCTTTCTAAATTCCATATATATGTGCTTCCATTGTTAACTTTGAAAAGTCAGCTGTCCATCTTAACAGTTACTCATTTGAAGGTCATCTGTCATTTTTCTCTAGTTGCTTTAAAGACCCTGTTTTTGTCTTAATACTCTACAGTTAAACTGTGATATGTTAATTGTATTTTTTATTTTTATTCAGCTTGGGACTTGTTTTGCTCCTAGTTTTCATTGATTCTGAAAATTGTCATTATCTCTTATATTGTCCCATTCTCTTTTTTTTTTGAACTCTGTATTGTATCAGTATGTTTTATTAAATCATCTCACTTTACCTTTCATTTCTCTTAAATTTGCATCTGTAATTGTGTGATACATTCTGGAAAATGTCCTCTGATGTATCTTTCAGTCCACCTAGTTCTCAAATTCTTTATCTCTTGTTGGATTGGCCTTAAGCCCACTTACTGAATTTTAAATTTCAGTTTTTGTTTTAGTGTTTCATTTTTATTTTGTTCTTTGGTCATTTTTAAAAATGTTTCTTCTGTTTTTCAAATTTATCTTTATTTCTTTAAACATTTTAATTATGGGCTTGTTTTGATTTTCCTCTTTGCCTGCTAGTTTCTGGTATCTGAGTCTAATTTCTAATTTTTGCTTTCCCTGCTGCTTCTCATTTTTTGGTACCTTCTTTTCTTGCATGTTTAGTGTTTTTTGTTTGTTGTTTTTTTTTAAAGTAAGGTGTTCATTGTCCTCTGAATTATTTTGGTAGGGAGTTTTGGTGGCCTGTACAAAGGTGAATTTCCTAGAGAGGATTTGCTCTTGCTGCTGCCAAGGAGCTAAGTAGACTTTTGATGTGGGACTATGTTATATTTGACCTCTTCAGGCAACTCATGTGATGTAAATTTGATTGCAAACCCAAGTGGTGACTGATTCTGATTACACATTCTTAGAGACATGTTTATTCCTCCTCAATTTAGCACCATGATTCCAAACAGGCAGTTTCGAAGATTATACCCCAGTGGGATAGAGAAGACACATAGACAAATATGGAATATAATGAGTTATGTATGAAAGCCTGCAGTAATGCAAGGAACAACTACCTTCATTGGGATTTAGAAAGTTTTCATTGTGATGGTAATGTTTGATGGTAATGTCTTGGGGGATGTATCTTTTCCATTTGGGAATTCCCATCAGAAGGAACCAAATGAGCAGTTGAAAGACTAAAGAACTTTTAAAGGATATTGAGATTGATCTAATACGGGTGCAGTGTGAAATATATGTATGTTTGTTGAGTGGTTGGATATAAATTTATAAAAGTACAGGTTGAGATTGGAATGTAAAGGGCACTGAATATCTTGCTTAAGGGATTTAGATTTTCTTTAAACCTCAGATGAGCCATCAAATATTTTTAAACAGAAAAATGATGTGATCAGATGTCTGCTTTAGAAATATAACAGGCAGCAGTGTAAAAGAGGGATTGGAAGAAAACCAAAAAAGCTGAAATTTATCTGAATCAAGAAATTATATTGATTAGTGTTAAAACACAGGCACCCCTTTCTCAGTCTTCAGCAAAACTTGCTGCTCTGCCATTAAACCTTTTGGTTGCTATGGGTTAGCTTCCCGCTCCCCCGCCATTTCTCTTTTTTCAGGCCATTTACTCAACCTTTATCCCTATTGTCAGTCTGTGAGGTTGCCTCCTATTTCAGGTGATCTCACTCAACTTCTAACTTTTCACTCCCTAATTGTCAGCTTATATCCATATCAATTTTCATTTCAGTTCTCTACTGTGAGGAAGTGGTGACCCTCTTTTTGTTTATGGCCACTTTATTTTAACCTGATTCCTGGCTCTAATTTCTCTCACTTTCTCTGGGATCTTACTCCAAAGGTTTTTTATTCTGTGTCCCCTTTAACCACTTTTCTCTTAAGGAGTACTTACTATAAACACACTGGTGTATTCCATCCCCAAATCTGAACAGTCCCACCTCCCCATTCTACCTTGTCCCTTAACTTCTGTCTTTTCAACCAGACCACCAGACAGGCCAGTCTGCGCTGACTCTTTTCACTTCACATCTCAGTAACTCAATGCAATACCTTCCTAACTCAATGCAGTTTGCTTGTCTGCCCCTACCAGAATACTGAAACTACTCAGGCAAGATTACTTTAACCTAGTTGCAGATTTTACTGTTCATTTTCTTTCATTTTTTGTTTCATTCTTCCATTTATTCAAAAGTTAGTTGAGCACTTTGTTCCAGGCTCTTGGGAATACATCAGTGAACAAAATAAATAATCATTTATTCCTTCATGGGCTTGCATTTTAAGAAGAGGAAACAGTAATTATGATGACTAAATAACAGTTGTAGAGAGAGAAAAAGCATAGCAGTAAGTGAGTTAGAATGGAGGCAGTGGGTACAGGCTGCAGTATTAGTGAGTGATCAGGAGAGGCCTGAATTTGAAGGTGAGATTTAAACAAAGGCTTTGAAGATGGTGGGGGGAATAGCCAAATGTATTCATGTGGGACAAGCAAAGAGAATAGATAGCTTGGAGTATTGGCTTTTTAACTGTGGTCGTTAGACCTTGTTTACTTGGGAACTTAATAGAAATGCAAATTCTCAGACTCTATGCCAGATCTCCTTGGAAAAGACCATGCTGGGAAAGACTGAAGGCAGGAGGAGAAGGGGACGACAAAGGATGAGATGGTTGGATGGCATCACTGACTCAATGGGCATGAGTTTGAGCAAACTCTGGGAGATAGTGAAGGACAGAAAAGCCTGATATGCGCAGTCCACGGGGTTGCAGAGAGTTGGACACAACTGAGTGACTGAACAACAGCAACCCTAGATCTACTAAAGAGGAAACTCTGGAAATGGGGCCCAGCAGTCTGTATTTAACAAACCCTCCTGTTGATTCTGATACCTGCTAAACTTTGAGACTCACTGAACTAGAGTAATGACCCTTAGGCAGAGGGGTACTGGCACATTTGAGGAGTAATACAGAAGCCAGTGCCACTAAAGAAGAGGGAGTGAGGGGGATGAATAGTGGGAGAAAAGAGGTCAGAGAGAATGGCTGGGACAAATCATGCAGTATCTTACAAGAACTTTAGTTTTTATTCTGAGTGAAACAGGAGGTGTTACAGGATTTTGAGCAAAAGATTGGCATAATTTGTTTTGTATTCTCAAAGACTCACCCTGGCTGCAACTTTGAGAGTATTCTGTAGGGAGCAGACACATCTGTTACAGTGATACTTTTCTCATTAATCTTGAAATTTCAGGGTTTCAATGATACTATACACATCAGTAATTTCTTACAACTTTCTTCTGACTTTCCTGTTTGTTTTTTAATAACACTTTTCCTTTGTAACTTCTTATCTGTTGATATCTTTGGTGTTCTCTTCTCCTTGGTTGTTCTCATTTGTTAGTTTTTTTTTTTTTTTTTTTTGGCTGTGCAGGCTTTCTCTAGTTGTGGTGAGTAGGGGCTGATTTTCCAGTTGGAGTGTGTGGGCTTCTCATTGTGGTGGCTTCTCTTGTTGCAGAGCATGGCTCTCGGGCACGCAGGCCTCAGCAGTTGTGGCTCACAGGCCCTAGAGCACAGCTCAGTAGTTGTGATGCATGGGTTTAGTTGCTCCCCGGCATGAGGAATCTTCTGGGACCAGGGATCAAATTCATGTCCTCTGCATTAGCAGGTGGATTTTTAACCACTGAACCATCAGGAAAGTCCAGTTATTATGGTTTCAACTACCCCCAAATCCTGACTATCTCTTGCTCAGTTTAGAATTTCAGGTAATAATTTTAAAAATACTACATGGCTGCACAAGACCCATTTTCATTTTGGAAGTATTGAGTAGGAATTAATATAATAATATTGTAAAGACCTATGACAGTGGTAGGACGAAAGGACCAAACCACATATCTGGTCAATTAAACCTTAACCTGCTTTTATTAATCTTTGTGGAAGCTGAATTTATGGTCTGAAGTTTATGGTTTGTGCTTGTTTTTCAGGTGACATTGTGCTCATTAGGTATCTGCCAGCTTAGTGGATAGTTGCTTTTACTTCCCTTACAGGGAGGTGCTACCACCTTTTTATAGAGAGCCTCGCCTAACTTAATGATTCCTCTCATGTCGGACGAAAGTTCAGTTCTTTTTACATTTATTATGGACAGTCTGTCTTTTTTTTTTTCCTGTTAATTTTTATGTAATAGTTATTACTATTCTGGTATTCTTTGAAGTATAGTCAGTTTTGCTCTAAGGTGACATTCATTCCTGAAAATCACTACACTGGAATTACACAATAAATCATGTTAGGGGAAAAGGCTCTCAACAACCTTGTCAGTGGCACATAAAAAAAAGATTGCAATATAATAAAAATGATAGTGCAAGTTTACACATTAAATGGGTAAAAATGCCTGAAATACTATAATGTCACTTTACCTTGAGAAAGACCTAAAATGTGTTTGTGGAAGCAGCCTACAAGTTACAAGTGGAAGCAGCTCTACTTACAAATTACTATGAGTAGAGCAAGGGAGGTTATTTAAAATTGGACAGTAAACTGTAACACCAGATGGGGATGGGTGTGGCTCATCACATATGTACAGCGAACTGAAGAGCTGGTAGATTGCTCAGAGTCTGTGGGGTTTGTATCTTCCTACATGGCTCCTACTAGGATCACCTGGGTGCAGCTTTCTGCATTCTCGTAGTGTTTCTTGGACACAAATTGTACATAAGCAAATGTGAAATTTGTATTGTCCTCAAATTATTTTCTAATCTGTCAATCATGTTGCAACAAATTTGTATTTCCAAAACAAGCAATACGGCAGAACTGACCTAACTCAGAGTTTGGTGGTTGCCTTCCATTTACTTTTTTAGGGTAGTTGATTAATTCTATGTATTGAATAAATTGCCTGTTCTTTTACCAGTAGATCTTGAGCAATCAAGTTAAGATATTTGGAATACTGGCAGTGGTATTACGGAAAAAAACCTAGATTTGGAATTTATACTTAGTTTGAATCCTAACTTTGCAAATCTAGTTGTGTCATCTTGAGAGATTTTCTTAGTTTTTAACTTAATCTGTTTTAGCTATGAAAGAGTCTCAGTACTGTTACATAGGTACTATAACTTAATTGCATGATTTGTAGAGCTGTCATAGAGGAGATAATATCGTTGTTTAGTTGCTAAGTCGTGCCTGACTCCTTCGCAACCCCAGACTGTAGCCCCCCAGGCTCCTGTGTCTATGGGTTTTCCCAAGTAAGAATACTGGAGTGGGTTGCCATGTGCTTCTCCAGGGGATCTTCCCAAGCCCTGGGAAGTTGAACCCGCATCTCCTGCATTGGCAGGTGGATTCTTTACCACTGAGCCACCAGGGAAAGCCCAGATTAGATCATATATAAGTAAGATTTTGTAATAACTTAATCATAAATATGGGTCCGAGGCTAGAATCCTGGAAGATGTGTGAACGGACTTAATTTTGTCATTTAATCTACTTCTACAAATACTTTTTTGGGTAAATAGAGAACATTTCTTCTTCTTCTTTTTTTTTGTTTTTAGTACATTTTGGCCACCAGGAAAGTCCTGAGGACATTTTTTTAAATAAATCAATACTATCTCTAAATGGGTGAATTCATTTCAGCTTCAGAGGTCTGAATTAATCATCATATATTCTTTTTTCTGTATTATCTATTTAGTAAGGAAGCTTCGTTTTTTGCCTATCTACTCTAAATTCTGTTCTTATTTGAAATAATTGTTTTTAATTCAGAAGTCATTTTTATCATGGTGCAGTTTTAATTTATATTTTGAATTATTTTTGCCTTATAACTTTCAGAAATGAAGCTGATATGAAAGTTTTTTCAGATTTTCATTCTGGCAACATTCTTTCCTTTTGATGGAGAGATTGAGAAAATGAAACCCTTCATTGAGACCTTTAAAAATAATTATTAGTATAAATGTCACGTAGCATTTTAAATTGATTGTAGCAGTCTTTTAAAGCATTCAAAGTATGCTGTTTTATTTTAAAGGATTAGAAGATAAGGAACAAAATTTAACCAGAAGAATTAGTGCCTCAGATATTCTATCTGAAAAGGTAAGATAATGCTTTGTGGGATTGGATATCTCTGTAAAATTGATTCTTCTTCTGCTTTACTCTGTTCTCTTGAATGGAAGGTTCTGTCTTGTTTTTCACTTTTTTTTTTTCATCATTGCTGTACATCCATTTGGATATAAACCTTAAAGATAAAATCTGGAGAGAGATCTTGGAATATCATTGTCTTCACTAGATTCAATTAACATATTTAATTGAACTGCTATATGTTATCTGTAGGTGAACTTTCTGCTTGTGTTTTGAAACTTTTGCTTTCCTTCCAGGCATTTTCTGTCCTTTCTATGGGAGGATTACACTGTGTGGGAAAGCTTTGAAGTTAAACCTTGACCTGGAGTCCAGTTCTGGTTCCTCTTAGTAGCTGGGTGGTCTTGCGTCAGCTGCTTAGGCTTTGCCTGCCTCTGTTTTCTTTTCTACAAAATGAGTTTAATGTCATCTGTTCTCTGGATTGTTGTGAGGTTCAGCAGGGTAAAGTGCAAGAGCATCAAGCACTGTGTTTCACTTTAATAGGTACTCACTGGGCCAAGCCTTTTGTTTGTTGAATTAGATTATCTGAAATATCTTCAGTTTCTTCTGTTAAGATTTCAGTTTCTTTCTATGAGTAAATCGAAATGATGAAAACAGCTTAGAAGTTTTAGGAAAGAGATGGTCTTAAATTTAAGGGTGATAAAATAACAGATATACCCATAGGCAATCATGCATATATGTATATATGGTTTTGAATATCCTAACAATAACTCTATAAGGTAGGTTGACATTATCTCTTACAGAAGAACTGAGGTTCAGATGTGTGGATTAACTGACTTGCTTAAAGTTTTATAAGAATTAGATATCAGAGCAAGGAGCTTGAATGAGCCTCAGTACTCTTCTTACTGATCAAGTAACTGCTTTGAGTGACAGTATCAGTGGTCTCTTTCATTCCAAAAGTACAGGTAGCAAAAGATAATCAAAGACTTTTAAGTCTCTGGAACAGTAATGATCGCTTTATTTTAGTTAAACTCTGGATCAGCACTGTCCAATAGAATTTTCTGTAATAGTGGAAATGTTCTATATCTACACTCCAGTATGGTAGCTATTAACCACATGTGCCTATTAAGCATTTGGAATGTGACTAGTGTGACTGCGAAACTAAAGTTTTCATTGAATTTTAGTTAAATAGCCACACATGACTTACTGGTTCCATTTTTTGGATAGCATGACTCTAGATCTTCAGTACCAAGCAGTAGAATTTGATGTTTAAATGACTTAGAGTAAAAAAGACTCATGATAATTTTTCAGCTCATTTTTTACATATATTTCCCAAGAAAGCAAAGAGTAACTGTATCTTGGTTTGGGTAAACAGAACTACCGAAATATATGATGGTAGTTCAATTACGGATTTATAATAGTCTGTAGAATGTTAAACCACTAGATAGACTCTACTGTTTTCTTTATGTTTAAGAACTAAATAATTTAATTTGATTTTAAAAGTATAATTACAATTCACTTATTAGATTAAGTGAGCCTTAATTTTTTTGAGTCTTAGCCTCTTTTTAGTTTTCCCTCCTTTTCTGTTTATACACATAAGGGACAAAACATGCATAGCTTTGTGTTGAACTTCAAGGAGTGGGGATGCCAAAGGACCCCCTTATTGCCCTCCCTCCAAAGTCTCATGGACTTCAATCTCACACTTTTGCTTAGGTCGCCTGACATTTTCTGTTACATTTTAGCTAAAATGTACAGAATAGATAATTTTTAAAATTAACTAAAAAAAATAGTGAAAAAATAAAGGTTATTTCAATTGGAAAAAAGTTCTCAAACGTTTGTTCCTAAACTATTTCCCTATTTTAGCTTCCCTGAAGAAGTCTTGGGTGTTAAAAATATTGTTGATACCAGATAAATGTCTGTACCTTTAGAACATGGAATGCTCAAGTATAAGCAAATCTTTACATATTTTTTCCTTCAAAACTGATTTGAAGAATTATAAAATGTATTTTTAAAAGTTTGCAAGTTTGAATCTTGACATTTCATTGTGCCTGTTCTGTGTAGTACTTGTAAGGCTAGCAAACACCCATGATTATGGGACCACTTTGTTCTTTGGTCATTACCTCCCCTGGGTTGATTTCTTCTTGCATTCACTGCCATCAAATTTCTACTCTCATTTGGGAAGCAGTTAAATGCCAGTCTCAAACTTTTTTGTCGTCAGTTGTACTCTCCCCCTCTAACCCTTCTCATGTATACATACACCCTCTACAGACTGATCTTCAGTTTGTATTATAGGAACTGAGTTAGAGTATAGGGCTATGGTAACTTACTCAGTTTCCTTATTTTATTTGTATTTACCATTTAAGTGTTTGTCTTAAAACTAACTTTAAATTCTGATCTTATAGCAGCTTTGATTTGGTAATATGTCTAAAGTCAAATAATAGAAGTTTTAAATGGCAACTGTTTCTTTTGTTAAAGAAGCTTGGTGAAGATGAAGAGGAGTTATCTGAACTGCAACTTCGTCTTTTGGCTCTTCAGTCAGCCAGTAAAAAATGGCAACAGAAAGAACAGCAGGTGATGAAAGAAAGTAAAGAAAAGTTGACTAAGACGAAAACTGTACAGCAAAAAGTTAAAACCAGTACAAAAACACATTCGGCCAAAAAAGTTAGCACTACAGGTGATCATTTCTATTAAACTCTTTTAATTGATTTCCTATATCAGTATAGTTTCTAGATTTTAATTCAGAAAGTTTTGAGTTGGGAAATTATATAGGGCCCTGAATAAAGGACAGTCCTGTATAAACAGAACTTAATGACTGAAATAATTATCAAAGCTTTGTTTTCTCTATCTTGAAAATTCTAACTCTAATAGATGCTGATGTTTCTATATTTTTTAAAGCTAAACAAGCATTGAGGAAGCAGCAAACAAAGGCATGGAAGAAACTACAACAGCAAAAAGAACAGGAAAGACAGAAAGAGGAGGATCAGCGTAAGCAAGCTGAAGAAGAAGAGAGAAGGAAAAGAGAAGAAGAAATCAGAAAAATTCGAGATCTCTCAAATCAGGAAGAACAGTACAATCGATTTATGAAATTGGTTGGTGGAAAGAGGAGATCAAGGAGTAAAGTAAGGAGTTCAAAAATACAAAATCAAAGTATTACTCAAGTTTGAGTATCCTTGTATTAGCTCATAAATTCAGTCAACTAGGAAAACGTATTAAGTTATTTTGTTTGATAGAGCTTGTTATAGATAAATAATTGCTTTGGGAAGAAGGGAAGGTAGGTTATAATTGAGAATGAATTGTTTTTATAGTTACAGATGCTAGAAATAGAAGAAATACTTCTTAATACTAAATACTTCTATTAAATACTTAATAGAAATACTTCATAATAGTAAAATTATGATTAGAAAAGCCTCTCTTTGGCTTTTGTGTCCTTTTCTATTCAGAAGAAAGAAGCATTCCTGAGTTGCAATGAGGACTTATTCTTAAAATTACTATTCCCTTTTAATTTAATGTAGAATTAGAAATGTATCATAATTAGTTGATTTGGACTATTTTTAAGAAAGTTAAATCATCATATCATAATAGCCTTAGTGCATGTGGCTACTTCAGTTATCAAGCATTTGTGAACCTTTATTATGTATAAGTCATTGATAATGACTGGATGAGTCGTTGCCTTTTATGGCTCATGTCAGGAAGTAAACTGGAGATTTAATATTGATCTGGTGCTATTAGCAGTCACAAATTTCAGAATTCTGAACTTTGAGACTATACTTGCAAGTGTATTATTGATATTAAAGAATAGAGGGATATTAAAGAGTAAGAGCTTTTTAATTGTAGGGAGTCAAGGGTTAGATTTAAGTAAGGAATTTATAAGTATTCATACTCTGAGCTTCCAAAAAGTACTTTGATGAAATCTTTCTATAGAAAAGTATTGTATATTACTTGTATTCATATGGATAGGTTTTGGTAATTTTTAATTTCTTATAAACTCTCTCTCAGTGGAGATTGTAAGAAGTGAAAAAAAAGAAAACAGCATATAAGCATATGACCAAGAGTTTTTAGTTTTCAGTTATCATTAATTTATTCGTAACTGAAATGTTAATGGATTATTCAGGCAATATTCTAAATAAGACTTAATAACATAAAACTTGAATTCATTTCTCTGATTTCTTAATTTGCAGAGAGAGGCCATTAGTATTTCTGATCTTGGTGTCATCTTACTTTCTAGAGGAATAGCTGATTATTTAGTGACTCAGTTCACTGGGGGATTTCATCTGTACATGTAGTACTTTCTAGCTTCATTTTCTGTCTGACAGTTATAAAATGTCTGCCACAATGTACCTATTATGTATATTGAATTTCCCAAATCAGATGTGATAGTTCTAAGTGGATCATCATGATTTTTGATACTGTTCTATGTAAAAGATTACCGTTAATTGTTTTATAACTTCGAGCCTAAGAGTAGACTGAAACAGAAAATGCTGTGAAACTAAAAATAAATCTTGTATAATTAGTCTTCAGATCCTGACCTGAGACGGTCCTTAGATAAGCAAGCTACTGATAGTGGAGGCGGCATTTATCAATATGATAACTATGAAGAAGTTGCTATGGATACAGATAGTGAAACCAATTCTCCAGGTATGAGCTAAAACTTAAAACATTTGTACATTCACAATTATTAAGTAGAAAATGGTCAAGAAGCTACCCAAAACATTGAAAGAAATGTGTAATGAAAGTAAAATTTGCTGGTAGGTTGTACAACCAAAGACATTATTTGATGTTTAAATACTTCAAAAGCAAACCTCAAACTGTAGTATTAACCTTTATTTTCTTGTATTTCTTCCTGTATAGTATTTTAATTAAAAAAGGCAGTATTCTGCTGTTAACTGTTTGATCTAAGAAGTGAATATTGTGGGAAAGGTGAGAACACTGCTTTAAAAAACAAACGAACAAAGAAATCTTTATTTTTAAATATCTTTATGTCTAAGGCATTCTTCATTTTAGTCAAAAAAAAGAGATCTTTCTTTTGTTCAGGCTTCTTTTCTCCTTCTGCTGATGGTACTTTGTAGGAGTAGAGAGATGGAAAGTGATACTAGTGGTGCCTTAGGATCAGCTGATTATAATTGTTAGGGCTATATCTCTGTTAGAGTGCACATTTTAGGATGTGGCCATCCCTGAGAGTTAGAGACTTGCTTTAGTTGATTTTCAGGAGTAATGGAATGTGAGAGACCTATACTCTTACTAATTAAAGCTATCCTCTTACTAATTAAAACAGATAAGAATGGGGCAGACAACAAAATGCTGTTAGTGTTCTAGAAACTAGAATACTTACTTGCAAGGTCATATGGTTAGTGTTTTTCTTCCACTGGTTGTATTGTGAGACCAGATAAAACTAGAATTCCACTTTAGTGTGTCTAGAGAGAAGGCAGAATCTATATGATTTGGTAATGTTTAGCAAAAGCTCATTTTCAGGTTATAATGTTTAGGTTCATATTTAATAATCTTGTATTTTCATGTCTTAATTCTCTTTGATCAGCCTTTAATTATTTCTAAGTTCTTGGAAATGATTCATTGTAGTTCTCAAATATTGACATTATTATTACTCTATAATAGTTTTATGATTTACCCTTTAGAAGAATTTTGTTAAAAAATAATATAAAAAATATAATCAAATGGCATCATTTGGGTCAGAAATCAGCTCCATATAAGTCATGTGGTTAATACTCATTGACTTGAAAGACAACTGGGACAAAGAAGAAATACTAAGTTTCCCTAAGGTTATATGGTTTAGAGGTAGCAAGAGTAATCTTCAAATCTGTCAGATTTCAGTAAGTCTAAAGAAACCACTGAAAAAAAAAACAAACAACAAAAAAGAAACCACTGAAGGTCAAATAAGCAGTTATTTTTATCTGCTACCAAGGAAAAAGTGCTTACAATTTAACTGAGATGCATCAGTAACTACTTCAGAATTACTGAATTTGAAAAAAAATGTATACTTTAATGATTAAATGCATAGGTAATTCTTTTCATTCCTAGTCCTGTTTGCTTTCTCTCCAGTTTAAATAGTCCGTTTCTTCACTTTTCTGCACATTGAGGGAGGGATGGAGTCATGGCATCACTGTTTCCTTTGGTTATGATACTTTGGCAGATTCAAGGGAAATTTTTGTTTTATTATTTCTTAAAAAGAATGTTTTTTTCCAAAAAGCAATAAAAGCCTTTCCTGCTTTATTCCCTTTTACCACAAGTGGGTGAAAAGTAGAACAAGATAGAAAAGTTTTCAAGGGACTAAATATCAGCTTAAGTGGATGGCTAACTTTATAGTGATATAAGAGCAATTATAAATAGGTAGAGGTAGTCTCATGGAGGTTAAGTATTTTATTGGAGATAAATACAATCCCACTTGTACTTTACTTAGATGTAGTTGTATGTCTTCAGAAATATTATAAATTTAATTTATTCCTGTTGAATATATGTTATTAAACTCCTATAAAAAATTTTTTTAACAGCTCCTTCACCAGTGCAACCACCATTCTTCTCTGAATGTTCATTGGGGTATTTTTCTCCAGCACCATCTATTTCTTTGCCTCCACCACCTCAGGTTTCTGTAAGTGAGGATTGGTATGATTTCTAAGAAAGTTTGGTTGCCTTGTGTCTTTTCTAATTTGTTTTGAAAAGCTGGCATGTAGTTAGGTTTGAGAACATAAAGTCTGCTTGCTAGAATTAATAGCTATGAAATCTATGGTATATTAGTTATTGGCAGGCTATCAATCTGGTAGATTTTTTCATAGGTAATTTTTAGTCTCATGTTGGACTTTCTTTCAATACTTAGCATGTTTCCTTGTTTATTTTTGCTCCTCAGAAAATGTATTCTTAAGCAGAATAAGAATTATCTATTATTTTGGATTTTTTTAGAGGGTAACTGGGATTTAAGTGGATTTAAGGTGCTTCTAGAAACTTTTTCCTTTCTCGTCTTTTGATTATATAGTTGTTTTTAATTTGAAAATTCAGTAAAGGAAAAGCATTGACTAGTTAAAGAAAAGTTGATTTCTTTTCAACCTACTTTTAAGTCCCCTGTTAGAAAAAGAAAAAAGGCAGTGGGGGAATCACAGAGTGATTTGTAAGTTTTCTCTGGATTGAGACAACCAGGAGCTCACACTGCTTCTGTCTTAATGGGTTAGTAGGAGCTTTGCCATTTCACAGTTCCTAGGCAGACACCTGGCATCCTCCTGGGAAGTTTGAGAGGAGGGGAATATTAGAGTAGAGAGTGAGAAAGAAACATTTTTTTTTCTTCCTTGAATTGTTTTAAGTGCCAAGAGAAATATTGGAAGGTCTTTGAAGCAAAAATGTGTGCGAATGCAGGGATTTGGGTAAAATTAACTATCTTTACAGATGCTCTTTAAGAAGCCATTTCACAAAGATTTTATGAGGGTAGTGGTGGTGATTTCTCACATTTAATTCTTGATATACTCTAGACTGTTCCCATAGAGAATCCCTTTGGTTCCTAATTTTTAATTTTTAGTTAAATATCTGTTTGTTTTCAGGTAGTCATCTAGAGAGATAGATCCTATAAAATTTGATTTCTCTATCATGAAGTTCATAAATTAAATTACAGTTGATTTTAACTTTTTGTAAAAATTATACATTTTCTTGGCTAAATATTGAATTTGGGTTAGTTTTGAGATTTCCAGTATAGTTAGTTCACTTATTCTTATAGTAAAGTAATAACCTGATGTTTACCTTTTTCTAATTTGATATTGCTGTAGCGATAAACGCTTGGAATGAGTAAACTTTGCCTGGTAACTGTTAGTTTTTTAATTAACTAGTCTGTACCGCCTTTGAGCCTTTATTTTTTTTTGAATTAACTAGTCTGTACCGCCTTTGAGCCAGCCGTATGTGGAAGGCTTGTGTGTTTCTCTTGAACCTCTACCTCCTCTACCGCCTTTGCCACCTCTTCCACCTGAAGATCCAGAACAACCTCCAAAACCACCTTTTGCAGATGAGGAAGAAGAGGAGGAAATGCTGCTTCGAGAAGAGCTACTTAAATCTCTAGCAAATAAAAGAGCTTTCAAGCCAGAGGTAATTTAGGTACCTGAACCTCTAGGTGGTGCTGTTGAGCTTAGTTTTAGGTAGGACTACTCTGCTAGTTTGGGATTTTTTGGGCTTTTCAGTAAAGTAGGGATAAGTCTGTTAACTAATTTGCTCAGTACTTTTAAAGATGACAGGAATTTCATTTAAAATTGCTTAATATCTGTCTCTTCCTTCTTTAGGAAACATCCAGTAATAGTGACCCACCTTCACCTCCAGTGAACAATTCACAGCCTATGCCAAGAAGCAATCTATCCATAGTCAGTATTAATACAGTGTCTCAGCCTAGGATACAAAACCCAAAGTTTCACAGAGGACCTCGTCTTCCACGAACTGTGATCTCGGTAAAAACAAAATAATTAGTGCCTACTCTTACTTAATCTTGTTAGAAATTTGTATGCAGTTTTGCTGTCCTGTTCCCTGCCTCTAGTTTATTATATACAAACATTTATTTTTATTTATTAATTGTGAAATGGGAGCAGTTTTTCACTTGAAAACTGGTAGAGTTTATGATAATATTTTTGGGAAAGCATTATTTTCATCTGAGGGGTATTCTTTTGCCATTTCCTCAACTTTTGTTTTATATAAATTGGTCCTTTTAGATTTTTCATCTATTCTAGAGTCAGTTTCAGCAAATTTTATATATATATATTGTTTTTCCTATCTTTGCTTATGTTTTTGCAGTTAATGACTGTACTATAATGGAAGAATTTATAATGTTTTTCACTGTTTGTTAAGGAGATTGAAATGACAGTTTCTTTCTACTTTGTTTTCTAATGACTTTGAAATAAATGTGGAGAAGGAAATGGCAATCCACTCCAGTATTCTTGCCTAGAGAATCCCGTGGACAGAGGAGCCTGGTGGGCTGCTGTCCATGGGGTCGCACAGAGTCAGACATGACTGAAGCAACTTAGTATGCATGCATGCATAAAATAAATGAAGCAAAGCCAAGTTGAAATCTTGCCTCTGTTAGGTTAACATATCCTCTGTATATCCTCTATATACACATGAAAGCCATAAAGTTTTATTAGTAATAATATGGAGTTACATTTTTTCTGACTTTAAAAGGTTAGTCTAGATTGCATTATGTTTCTTTATAGAAAGTTGGTTAAAATAAAACTTAATGAAGAAGATGGTGATAGTATCTAGAATATTTCATTTTAGTATATAGAATATTTTAAATTTTTGGTATATCAGTAAAATATAGAATCTTATGTTTTTGTGTATCTGTGGAATGGGACAAAGTTGGTCAATTAATGCAGTATGAACAGAAGGAACCACAGACTGCTTGAAACCTATTATTTTTATGAATTTAAATTCATACAGGTAAAGTGACTTGTTCAGTGTCGTGAAGCTAATTGTGGTAGAGATAAGAAAAGGATAGTGATGCATTTGTTGTCAAGAATAACAAATATATTGGCTTTGCAGCTTCCAAAGCATAAATCGGTGGTTGTAACACTAAATGATTCCGATGATAGTGAATCTGATGGAGAGGCGTCCAAGTCAACTAATAGTGTTTTTGGTGGATTGGAGTCTATGATTAAAGAAGCAAGACGAACTGCTGAGGTAATTAAGTGCAGTAATGAGAGATGGAAAGGTTTATTGACAATTACTAAAATTTGCTTGTTTTTCCTGAAAACTAGACCTTGGAGGTTTAGATTTTTTAATATATTGAATTTATGGATATATTTTTTTGTACTTGTATCATTGAGTTTATATTATGAAGTGTGTATAAATTAAGATAGATTTAACTATTTAAAAACCCCTTTTGTCTCCAGACTAATCCTTCTTTCAGAATAGTAAAATAGTGTAGATAATTGTCCTCTGTACTAAGGAAATTTATTGGTTTGTGATTGTGTTATATTACCAGAAAATAGTTTTACTGAAGTGTGTGATCTAAGTACAACTTTTGTTCCTATTTGTATTTGCAGCATTTGTTTAGATATGAAATAGTTCAGTTATTTTTAAACCGTAGGTCTTGACTGCTTAGTGGATTGTACAGTTAATTGGTGGTTAAAGGCCAGGATTGTTTTTTTTTAAAGGAATAGAAAATAATGATCAAGATATTTATTTCTAAATATATAGATGTGTACTGGATAATGTAAAATATAGATCTAAGTTGGGGTTATGAAAGTTTTTGATCTGGTTGACTTCAAATGTTTTCTAGCAAGCTTCAAAACCAAAAGTACCTCCAAAATCTGAAAAAGAGAATGATCCCATGCGAACACCTGAAGCTCTGCCTGAAGAAAAGAAGATTGAGTATCGATTGTTAAAGGAAGAGATTGCCAAGTAAGTAGCATTTTAAGTTGCACAGAAGGGGGAGCCAGATGATCATCTATAAACTTGGATGCAGTCAGTAATGCACTGAAATACAGACAACCTAGAAATAGATAAATGCTGTTATAAGGACAACTGCACCATCAGCTTTGGATGCCAACTTGGGTCATGCATATTGGTCATCATTGTTATTAGTCAGTGTTAGTCACTTAATAATTTTACTTTATTTTATGAAAAAGATTACATCTTTAAAAAGTAATTTCAGTTTTTCAGGGAATAATTTATCAACCTTTATTGATTATTTTAGTCGTGAGAAACAGCGTTTGATCAAATCAGATCAGCTGAAGACAAGCTCATCATCCCCAGCAAACTCTGATGTAGAAATTGACGGAATTGGCAGGATAGCACTGGTTACTAAGCAGGTTACAGATGCAGAAGCAAAGCTTAAAAAACATAGGTGAGTCTCATTATCTGGTTATACTGCATGTATCAAAATGTTCTATATTAGAAGGATGCATTTTTGTGCTGTGTGTCAATAATAAGTACACTCTATGATTACTAATCCTTTCATACATGGTAGACCTAGAGAGGCTATAATTTTGTGGAATTGTCCACTTGCAGTACATAAAATAATAGTATTAATATTTAAACAAAAATACCAAGACTTCAAAATGGCCTATTCATTGCTAAAATGAAACTCTTTGTTTTGGAATTTTCTTTAAAACCTCTGGCACATTTTTAGAAATACCTTTATTGGAAGCATATTTTTATTGTTAAAGGTAGACTTAATTGTTTGGAATAAGTCATTACTTTGTGTGTTCAGTAAGACACATGGTCAAATATTGTGTTATTATAAAAACTATGATATGCAATAACCTTAAGACATATCCAGAATATCATATGTAGTAACACTAAGGTGTATTAAGGTTTATAGATGAAATATGGTGGTGACCATAAATCTCTAAGGAAATGGTATGGTATGTATATTTTAAAGGAAATTAAAATAAATTTATTTAGCTTCTGTTTCTTTAATAACTTTCATAACAAATGAAAAGATTTTTAAAAATTGTCTTTCTAGTCCCCATCCTTTTTATCACATATTTTTCACATATCCTTTGTCTTTATGATTCATTCAGTTGTTGTGACTGTTTGAAATATGGTATCTTTCTGGGAAAGATGCTTTTTTTTTTTTTTTTTAGCCATAATATTCAGTAGTTGAAAAGATGGAACTCTCTATCCATAAGTTTGTCTTTCTGTCCTGATTTATACTTCTTAAGTTCATAGTTGTAAGTTAATTAAATGTGCTTGTTTATGTTTATTAGATGTTTATTTGTGTGTTTAATAAACATTATAAATGAAACCAACATAAGGATTTTATGTCTTTAAGTCCTGGTTTTTTAGGAGTTATTTAGGGCTAAGTTGAAATTTACTGTTTATAGCTTTTCAGCTATAATTCACATTACTCAGACTTGTAAATTTCCTGATTGTCCAGTGGTTAGAACTCTGTGCTTTCATTCCAGAGGGCCCAGGTGGGCCTGTGGATGTGGAACTGCTGTGGATGTGGAACTAAGATCCCACAAACCAAATGGTGGAGCCAGGAAAAGATTAACCCTTAGTTGCTTTCATAAAATTTAGCAGTGTGTATCTGAATACTTATGTGATTGAGGAATATGAAAATATTTACCCTTTTAAATATTTACCTCTCTGTATCATGAACATAATTTTAAAAATGAGCTATTACTTTGTAAGTTTTTTATTCTGATGATGTTAGTCCACTACTAGTTTAGAAAAACATTAATAATTTTGTTATTTCCCAATTAGGATTCTCTTGATGAAAGATGAATCTGTTTTGAAGAATCTAGTACAGCAAGAAGCTAAGAAGAAAGAATCTGTTCGAAATGCTGAAACAAAAATTACAAAACTTACAGAGCAGCTTCAGGCAACAGAGAAAATTCTCAGTGTCAACAGAATGTTTTTGAAGAAGCTTCAGGAACAGGTAGTGTTCTTTTTTAATTCAAATATTGTAGTCTCATGTTTACTATACATTCTTATGGGCCAAATTTTTAATAAAACCCCCAAAGCCATCAAAATATATAACCTATATATTGTTCTTCATTGAGGCATAATGTTAGCACATTTTTAATTTTCAGTTGAATACCCTAAAGCTATTATGTCTAAGAAGGTATTGCCTCTCCTAAGATTTACATTTTCAGACTTACCCTTTATTTCAGATTCACAGGGTACAACAACGTGTTGCAATTAAGAAAGCTTTGACTCTGAAGTATGGAGAAGAACTTGCTCGGGCAAAGGCAGTGGCTAGTAAAGAAATAGGAAAACGTAAACTGGAACAAGATCGCCTTGGAGTAAGTTGTTGGTAGAAATATTTTATGTTTGAAAAGGAGAAGGTTTTAATAATTCTTTTGGGGATAAGATGCGTGAAAAATTGAAGGTTTTTCCCTGCATATTCAAAGAGAATAAGATTAAAGCTTTGTTTTTAAATGACATCCACACTTTTGGAAGCTTATTTTTAATTTTTTTGTTTTTTATATATCACAAATTAACAAGCAAATCTGTTGGAGGCTTTTGTTAAACTTTTATTCTTGTTATTGACTTAGTTTTATAATATTGGCATTGTTGGGATAGCACAATTATCCTAACAAAAATTGTTTATAAAATCATAGCAATATAAAATATTGATTTCATTTTCCCCTCAGCCAAACAAAATGATGAGACTGGACAATTCTCCAATATCAAGTCCAAGAAGGCATTCAGCAGAACTAATTGCTATGGAAAAAAGACGGTTACAAAAGCTAGAATATGAATATGCCCTGAAAATTCAGAAACTGAAAGAAGCCAGGGCCCTAAAAGCAAAGGAACAACAAAATATTGCTCCACTTGTGGAAGAAGAACCTGAATTTTCTTTACCTCAACCCTCACTTCATGATCTGACTCAAGATAAATTAAGTCTGGACACTGAAGAAAATGATGTTGATGATGAGATTCTGTCTGGTTCAAACAGAGAAAGAAGAAGATCTTTCTTAGAATCCAATTCTTTTACTAAACCTAACCTTAAGCACACTGATACACCTAACAAAGAATGTATAAACAAACCTACTAAGAATACAGTAGAAAAACCAGAACTTTTTCTAGGGTTAAAAATTGGTGAATTGCAGAAATTATATTCAAAAGCTGACAGCTTAAAACAACTGATTTTAAAAACTACCACAGGCATTTCAGACACGGTTTTGCATGGTCAGGTAACTGAACATTTCATATTCTTTATGAAATCTAGAATTCACCCTAGCCTTATTTGCCTTTTGAAATTGCTATTTTCTTTTGCAGGAGATTTCTGTGGATGTGGATTTTGTGACAGCACAGAGTAAAACAACAGAAGTGAAGCCATGTCCGTTCAGACCCTACCATAGTCCCCTTCTAGTTTTTAAATCTTACAGGTATAGAAGAAAGATTCAGTAAGCTTGAGTTTCAGGATTGCTCCTTGTTCTTAATAATATCTTAATCTTTAATGTTTGATGGCAGTGAAAAAAGTTGAATCACTGAAAAAACGAGCTCGTCATTTTAGGAGATAAAAAGATTTAAGTGCTTTGTTGTAGGACTTGAACCTAACAGGAGCTAAGAGTTAACTCACACTTGGGTTTATTAATTCTTGTCAAATTCTAATTTCTGGCTACTGATGGAATTGTGGAGAATTTTGAATTACTATCTGTTAAGGATTTTAGGAAAAGTTAACAGATTCTTATGTGAATTTTTAATATTGCTTTTTAATTTTACTGTTTCTTTAAGGAATACATTAGCTAGCTTTCATAAAATTGATTTGACATTTTCAGATGATTAACTTTGACAGGTTTGGTTTTTTTTGAGACTCTTTAGAAGCTGTGTAACTGTTAAATTGGTATGGTTTTATTAGAATCTGTGAAACTGTTAAATTGGTATGATTTAATCATAAAATCACAAAGCACCTACCAGGTAGTATAGACCTTTTCTTTGGTTTTCTGGGTGGCTGGTAATATGTAGAAGAAATGCCAATGTTATATAGTATTTTATTATGTGGTAAGAAAACACTACTTTGAAAACACTAGGATATTTTTGTTCTTTGTTTTCTATTTCAGGTATTTTATGTCCTGAGTGTAGAAGTAGTTTGTCCTTGTGACTTGATATTCTAGTTGTTTTCTAGAGTTAATTTTACTATTAAGTAATTAAATAAATAGTAAACTCAAAGTATCGACACTTTGAGAAAGAAAAAAATGAAAAAATTTAAAATTTTCTGAGGATTTTTTATGGAGCATCGTAATGTGCCTCTCTTTTTAGATTTAGTCCATACTATCGAACCAAGGAAAAACTTCCCCTAAGCTCAGTATCATACAGTAACATGATCGAACCGGATCAGTGTTTCTGCCGTTTTGATTTAACAGGAACATGTAATGATGATGATTGTCAGTGGTGAGTAGTTTATATTTGTGAATGTTTTATAATTTAAAAGCTAGTCTTGGTCATTTAGCTTTGATATATACATGATTATCTTTTCTGTGTTATTTTAGGCAGCATACACAAGACTACACACTTAGCCGAAAACAGCTATTCCAGGATGTTCTGTCATATAATCTGTCTTTGATTGGTTGTTCAGAAGGAAGCACTGATGAAGAAATTGCTGCTGCAGCAGGTTTTAAAGACCTCTTGTTTCCCAAGTGAAAATTGAATTTAGGCAATTTAAACGTTTTATACTCAGTTGTTGGTATCTTTAAATAGCTATAAAAATTCAGTACAGTTATCTGTGACACCTTATGTAGGTCTGCTCTGTCCAGTACAGTAGTTACTAAAATAAAAATTCACTTCCTCAGTCACTGACCACATTTCAAGTGCTTAGCAGCCACTCTTGAGCTCAGTCATGGTCAATAGCTTACCAGTAAGACAGTGCAGATGTGGCCCATTTCCATCATTGTAGGAAACTCTTCACGGAGCTCATCTGACTGTTTCAGTTTAAAAAGTGTGTGCTAACATGGCTGCAGAACTTTTACTGATGATTTAAAAAGACTATTTTTATTCCTTTTAGAAATAGAGGGGATTGGAAGTTGAGATGACTGTAGGTAAATTCTACAATGAAGTAAGAAGGAACTTTATACAGTTTGACATTGTAGAAAGTGTAGATTTCTGCCAGACATTGTGTGTAAATGTTGTTAGGCTTTTCCCCAGATTTACTGCCAAATATTAAACCTTAAACTACAAGTCTTTTGGAAGTAAGGAAATTGATATTCGTTAAATTCAGTATAATCACAATTCTTAGTGATTGTAACAAAACAATCTGTTTAATCATTCCTAATTAAGGACCTTAATTTTCACTTGTTTAGGTTGTTTACTTTTTTTTCAACCCACATTGGGGTGCGTGATATGGTAGGGTTTGCTGTTTTAATTGAGATAATGTAGGCCTTGCCCTTTAGAAGCCATAGATGTTTTTGACTAGTACCTTTAATTTTTAAACTGTTCTTTTCTTCATACTCTTTAATTAGCCTCATCTCTGTAATCTGTGGTTTTTATACTTTTTATGAAGATAACATTGCTCTAATTTCAGAAAAATATGTTGAGAAACTTTTTGGAGTAAACAAAGATCGAATGTCAATGGACCAGATGGCTGTTCTCCTTGTGAGCAATATCAATGAAAGTAAAGGCCATAGTAAGTATATGTATCTTTCTCTCACACAAAAGGACCTTATAGTTTATGAGAACAAGTTTTTGGCATTATATAAAAAATATATTTATCGTTTCTGAGTAACATGATAGAATAAATTTAGCTCTTTTTGAACACTGGTTATCTTTCAGAACTGTAAAAGACTAGTTCTGTTAAATAATAGTCTTCTCCTATTTACTTTAGCACCTCCATTTACAACCTACAAAGATAAAAGAAAGTGGAAGCCAAAGTTTTGGAGAAAACCTATTTCAGAGAACAATTTCAGTAGTGATGAGGAACAGTCTACAGGACCAATTAAGTATGGTAAGAAGTAATTTAAGATCCAGAATCATTAAATGGTGGTGTCATTTCTTTGTCTAAAAGTTTGCTAATCTTTTGATATAATCTGTGGATGCACGCTCAATTGTTCAGTTGTGTCTGGCTCTTTGCGACCCCATGGATTATAGCCTGCCAGGCTCTTCTGTCCATGGAATTCTCCAGGCAAGAATACTGGAGTGGGATGCCATTTCCTCCTCCAGGGGATCTTTCCGACACAGGGATTGAACCTGTGTTTCATGCATCTCCTGCATTGGCAGGCAGGTTCTTTACCACTAGCTCCACCTGGGAAACCCCTTGGTATAATTTACTAGCCTTTAAAAATTTTTCATTTTTAAAAATCAGTGATGCTGCTTGGTGTTTAAGGCAAATAGTTCTTCCTTATGCAAGACTACCCCTTATATTGCAGGAATGTTGTTCCATGACCCATGTTCAGTAAATGCAAGGATCACCCTTTGGTAAATGTGAAGGCTTTAAATATTGCTAAACCTACTTGAGTGGGGAGACTGCTCCCATTTGAGAACTACTGCCTGGCCTATGTCCTTCTTGAGAACAGGCATTCTGTTTTGTTTAATCTTTGAGTCTGTGTTTTCTGACATGCAGTAGGCTCACAGAATGAATTAATTAAATGAGTGAACAAAGTAATGTATGAATGAGTGCTTTACTGTCAAGCACATCTTACATTACAATCTCAGATTTTCATAATTATGTACTATTTGTAGATTAGAAGATGTGTTCTTATGTACTTACTTACATTAACACTTTTTCTCTAATTTAAATGTAGTGGAATATATCATCTTCATAAATTATAATTTTCTCTTAAAACTTAATGAATGTGAATTATCAGTTGGTATCATTTACCCTTAGAGTAGGGAGGTCATACTTCTTATTTGCCCAGAAGAGTCCTACTTTGTATCTGTTGTCCTGGTGTTATTTTTATACTAACACCCCTTTTTACTCTTAGAAGTGTCCTGATTTGGACAATAATCTATATGACTGATTTGGTTTAGAGCTATAAGCTTTAGATTTTTATTGATAAAATTATTTGAGAGATGAAGCTAGTTTTTTTCCTTAGGTCTGTGGATTAGACAAATTGTGAGGCTAACTTACTTTTCCTTAGCCTTCCAGCCAGAGAACCGAATAAATGTTCCAGCTCTGGATACAGTTGTCACTCCGGATGATGTCAGATACTTTACAAATGAGACTGATGACATTGCTAATTTAGAAGCAAGTGTGCTTGAAAATCCTTCTCATGTACAACTTTGGCTCAAGCTTGCATACAAGTACTTGAACCAAAATGAGGGGTAGGTCTCCTGTTAATCTTTGTGTAAGCTGTTGCACTTTTATATTTTTATGTTTGAGGTTTATTTCATCTCTGGTAATCAGGTTTCCCTCCTAGTATCAATGGAGTCTTTGTTTTTTGACAAAGCGAAAAGTACTTAATTGTTTAAAAGCTGTTAGAAAAAGTTTAAGATTACATCTTGAGTTATGTGCATGGCTCAGTGTGTGGGTAATAATTTAGCTACAATCTTTAACTTAAGTAGGCTACTTCAAAGTAGTATCAGTTAAAACAGTAAATTCTGAGCGGTCCAAGAATTAATCATTGCATTTTTTAATAAGTCAGGTAGTCATGGTCTCTTAATAAAATTTTGATAAAGTCACAGTGTAACAGGTTAAATTTCATGTTAATTATCATTTAGAGATTTAAAGGTTGTCTGAGAACGTCTAAATTCTGGTGGACTGACTTTTCTCTGTTAGTGTTACATTATGTATATTCACATAAGATAAATATTAATTTATTTCAAAAATGACAACTCCTATTACATAATTATGTTTCTGACTCCTACTTATTGCTAGGTTTGCAGAAATAATCTTTTATGACCAGGAGTAATATTTATTGCTATAATTTTGGAATTATAATAGGTTTATTTTTCCGACTCGTTGCAACACTGTGGATTGTAGCCCACCAGGCTGCTCCATCCATGGGATTCTCCAGGCAAGAATACTGGAGTGGGTTGCCATTTCCTTGTCCAGGGCATCTTCCCGACCCAGGGATCGAACCCAGGTCTCCCGCATTGCAGGCAGACGCTTTAACCTCTGAGCTACCAGGGAAGCCCTAGATTTTAAAGGCTGCTTTATCTAAAAACTTGGTATAAAAACTTTTTTAAGGTAGCACTACAAAGTGCTAGTACATCACACCTGCCTGAATATGGTGGTTTTCAACTTGCTCTGTGTGTCATTTTCATGTTAATGGGATGAGTTAAAAGTGTTTTGTTTTTCTGACTCATTTACTGAATGAAGACCCAAAAACTGTACATTATTTTATGAATAGGATCATGAGAGACAATTTTCTTCTCCAAGAGACAGCAAGCCCTTGACTGTTGAAAAGAACTTTCAACTTACATTGAAAGCCTTGATTGCTTTTTGCTGGTAGTAGCTTGCCTTGAGAACCACTGTAAATCATGAGATATTGCTGAGTATGGACAGAAAGCACATTTGAAGTTGATGATCTAGTGGTTTTACACCACCATATTTTTATCTGGTAAATGCACATTGAACATGCACTTAAAAAGGAATTCTTGGCTTTATGGGAAAATTAGGACATTTTTTGGACAAATGTGATATAAAATTTTAATCTACTTCTCTTTATCATAGGTGATTCTAGCTTCTTGGTAGGTTCTAATAGAAAATGGAATTTAAAAGTTGACTTATTAGACTAGACTGATTTTTTTAAAAGTATTTTCAAGCATTCAAAAAAATGCTCCTGCTTTTTCTTTCAAATACGTAGGCTGTGTTCAGAGTCCTTGGATTCTGCTTTAAATGTTCTGGCTCGAGCTTTGGAAAACAACAAAGACAATCCAGAAATTTGGTGTCATTATCTCAGATTGTTCTCAAAAAGAGGAACCAAGGAGGAGGTGCAGGAAATGTGTGAAACAGCTGTTGAATATGCTCCTGATTATCAAAGCTTTTGGACTGTGAGTAGAAACAATAAAGTTGTGTGTGTGTGTGCATTATCAAATAATTCTTCAGGCCATCTTAAATATTGATGTGTAACTTCATAGATTATATGTTTTGTCTGCATACAGATATAATAATAAGTTTACTTTCACTGTCCAGTAACCTTAAAACCACTTCTATGGGTCCAGATTAAGTTAAACTAAAAAAGAACACAGTATTTAGTGAAGAGGTGTTTTTTTGTTGTTGTTTACTTTATTGGTAATGAAAAAAGATAAACTATTTTAAAGCATTTCACACTTACCTATTCATAAAGCAATTTTATTTTGGACACATTAAGTGAATTTTTGCTAAGTACCTGAAAATAATTTTTAAAAACTTTAGTTTTTTTTTTTTTTAACATATTCATGAAGGCCAGAAAACATTTTGGTCTTTTTATTATGTTCTCATTACTTATGAAAATAATCTGTAAATCATACTAATATTGAACCTTGCCAAATTAAAAAGATTTGATGAAAAAGTTTTTCCTCATTCTCTGAGAAAATGGGATGTTGCCTACCTATGCTTAAAATTATAATTAATCCACTTCTAAATATTCATTGGTATGTTAAGTTTTACTGGCTGAACTCAGGAATTATTAGATTCAGATAAACTTTCATATAAACCCTGTGGCTGTCAGATCTATCATTTACTTGCTAACTGAAATTTGGAACAGATTTGGATAACATGATATCCCTTAATGAATGAACATAACGCTTTCTTATTCTCCTAACTCACTGAATATATTTAGACAGTGAAAAATGCTTGATTTTTAACCTGAAGCTTTATATCAAAATTAATGCTGTTGATCAATTCAAGTTATAGTGTGTAATGTTTTTCCTGAAGTTGTTTGGTTTTTAAAGGACTTCTTAATTCTTGCAGTTATTTTGTCACATATTTCTTATATGAATTTTATTCTTGAAATTTTTATACAGTCACACACCTGAGTGGTGCAAATTGTATGTGGTCATAAGCACATGAGCTTTTGAAGATCTGTTGTGGTCTTGCTGCCATTTATCTATTGATTCAGTCAAAGGTGAAATGGCTTCAGTGATAATTCCAACAGTATCTCTCTTGTTTCAGTTGTTACCTGATCCCACTATCCACTTAGTACTGGGAGATGGGTTTATACAGATTTGTAATTATCCTTTTTGCAGAAATTGAATTTTTAATATATGACGATTTCTTAGTAAAATGTGAAAAATCTGTAGTATTAGATTATTCTTGTGAAGCAGGAGTAATCATCTGAAATCCGTTTGGACAGTTTCTGCACCTGGAAAGCACCTTTGAAGAAAAAGATTATGTATGTGAGAGAATGGTGGAATTTCTCATGGGAGCAGCCAAGAAGGAAGCATCAGATACTCTGTCCTTTCAGCTTTTAGAGGCTCTTTTGTTTAGAGTTCAGCTGCACATATTTACTGGAAGATGCCAGAGTGCACTTGCAATTTTACAGGTAAGCATTTATTACTGCATTTAATGACATTCTGTAGAGAATTTTTTAAAGGTTTAAAACAGTAGAGCTAGCATTGTTTAATGATGAGGCTTTAGATTTGAATCTTTGCCACTTTTTAGTAAGTTGTGTGAATTTGGGCAAGTTTGTGACTGTTTCCTCCTTTGCTTATTTAGTAGGGATAAAAATCTTTAGAACACTCTTTAGAATATTTATGAGGTTTAAATGAAAAGAATACTTGTTGAGTATCCACCAGAATAAACTTCAATATTCTAGGGCTTCACATCATTAAGGGGATTAGTCCCTAGTGAAAATCTTCTATATGGGTGTGGTGGGGTTTTTTTGTTTGTCATTTTTATTCTGACTAGATTTTGAATATTAAGACACTTTAAATATACAAATAAATTTAACCTTTTCATTAATTATGTCATAAACCTTAGTATAGTGAAAATTATGTTAATCTGTTACTGATCTCTCTAAAGAGTTTTTTCATTTAAAAAATTGGTGACTATCAGAAGTTGGACTTAGCTGTTTAAGAATCATGCCAAAGAAATAAAACACTTCTAATCTTCTTTGCCTTTGCAGTTGAATCTTATTAGGAATATTTTTAAAAATATCTTCAGATTATTTTTCCATTTTACCTAGAATGCATTGAAATTGGCTAATGATGGAATAGTAGCTGAATACCTTAAAACAAGTGATCGATGTTTGGCATGGCTGGCCTACATACATCTTATTGAATTCAACATTCTCCCTTCAAAATTTTATGATCCATCTAATGCCAATCCTTCAAGAATTGTTAACATAGAACCATTTGTAATGCCGTGGCAAGCAGTTCAAGATGTAAAGACTAATCCTGACATGTTGTTAGCAGTATTTGAAGGTAAATATAAATGTTTATAAATTATTTAGAACATCAGCTTATTGCTTATTATTATTCTTCATAATAAAGTGAAACAAATTTATGTATTACAAATTGTAGTTTTATGTATTTTTTAAAAGATTTATTTATGTTTATTTTTGGTTGTGGTGGGTCTTTGTTGCTGCACGCAGGCTTTTCTCTACTTGCAGTGAGTGGGGGCTGCTCTTTCTTGAGGTGTGCGGGCCTCCTGGGCTTAGTTGCTCCTGCTGCATGTGGCATCTTCCTGAACCAGGGGTTAAACTGGTGTCCCTTGCATTGCAAGGCAGATTCTTAACCACTGGACCACCAGGGAAGCCCCTGTAGTTTTATTATATAAATGCTTTAAAGATTAAATCAGATAAGGTGAGCACGGTCATGTGTGAAAACCAGGAACTGTGCTACATTGCATAGGTTTTCTGATTATGGCAAAGGGTTTCAGCTAAGCATGTAAATAATACAGCATGTTTACATAGGTTTAATGAGTTGATTGAGTCACAGAACCAGGTAAATTTTGTAAAGCAATCTATCAATGTGAAAGTTAAAAGATAATACCTTATTTTTTCAAGTAGTTAGTATTTTCTCCCTCAGTCAGTTGGGTTTGATTCCCCTCTGTACTAACCAAGGTATCTGCTTTGAAGTAATAAGATATAAAGCCTGTTCCCTTCTAATAAAAAGTATATAGCCTAGTCAGAAGATAAAATCTATACATACAACATCAATCAACATGTGAGAAGTATAACTGTCTTAGCATATAGTCTAAATTCTGTGCTTAGAGAAGAGACTGGGATCTGTGATTTAGAGAATTACATGGTACAGGCCATAAACCTAAAGGGAAGAGGTTATTGCAGGTTGGCACGACCAAGCGTGTCTTCATAGAACACTCAGGACTTGGAGCTGCACTTCGAGGCTCGATCACGATGTGACTGACATAGTGAAGCGCATTCTTGAGGTGGGACTCTGTTCTGCTTCTGTTTCTCAAGGGCCTCTGCAGCATACTGAGTGCTTAGTAAATGTTCATTGAATAAACCAGGGAAGAAAAAAGTGAAAGAAGGACATTCCTGCTAGGGGAAGTAAGTAAACAAAAAGCAACAAGTAGATAAGAATTGGTGCAAGGTATTTAAAAAGAAATTAGAAGAAGGAAGTCCTCATCAAAATGAGTTGTGGTGTTTAGTTGGTAAGTCGTGTCTGACTCTTTTGTAAATCCCATGGACTTCAGCCTGCCAGGGTCCCTCTGTCCATGGTATTTCCTAGGCAAGAATACTGGAGTGGCTTGCCATTTCCTTCTGCAATCAAAGGGAGACTTTTGTGATAAAGAACAGTAGCAATTAAACGAGATAAGTGGAGTGATACTAGGTTTTCAAGAACTTTGTGTGGTAGATTTGATAGCAATAGAGAGTCTTTAAGAAAGAAAGAATGTCCTGGAGAGAAATGATACCAAAGGTAGGAAAACCAACCAGAAGCCAGTGGCCATAACTGAGGCATTAAAGAAAGTAACCTGGGAAAGAGTATTTATTGGAGATAGCTAAGAGACAGATGAAATGTCAGGGAAGAAGAGAAAAAATAGTCAAAGATGATTTCAGGGTTTTGAGCCCAGGAAAAGGAAAGTATGCTAATAGAAAACTGGTGAATTGGAAAGACTGCTGGTAAGAGTGTGAATGATAATTGGTCACCAAAGTAGAAACCCTTGTTGCTAGCAGGAAACTAGGAAGTGTACCTTCATTGGACAGTTACGGAGAAAAATGGATTTGAAAGTTACCAACATAGAAATTATTGTGTTATGTAGTATTTTGCAATTTTTAATGTGCTCCCACACTAACTTATTCAGTAGTTGAAGCTATAAGATACTTTCTTCAAGGAAATGGAGATTTAAAAATACAGCAGTAAGGGGTAAAAGAGAGAGTTGAGTCACTGAATGAGACCAAGAAAAAATACAAACAATCTCTTAGAAGCAGAAGCAAGCAGAAATTAAGAAGAAGAACATTATCAAATGCTAATATAAAGATAGATTTATTTAGATAGGATACTTACAAGCTAACTTCACAAGTGCTATTTCAGAGTGGCTTTCACTTAGCAAATCTGAGAAGTTTAGTTTAGCAAATCTGCTAAGTTTAACTTAGCAAATCTGAGAAGTCATGTCACTATTGGGCAAGAAGGAAATGGAGACAGTGGTGCAAAGTGAAACAATGGACTATTCTCTAAGAAGCAGATCAAGTAAAGGACTCTTCATAAAGGGAAAAGTGTTCTGAAAGAGTAAAGAAGAATTGTATGAATCTTAATTATGCTGAATTGGCTCATAGTGCTTTTCAGGTCTGCTGTATCCTTCTATTTGCCTTTATATTCATTCTATTAATTTTTGAGAGTTTGATATTGAAACTCCTACTAAAAATCTTAATTACTTAAAAAATTGTAGCATATAGAACTATATGTAACTCTGTTCTGTATTTTCCAATTGTCCTGCAAATGTATTACCAAACTTTCATAATTTAAAAAAATAAAAGACATTTAAAAAAAAAAAGATAGGGAACGTGTTAACCATGACAGAAAACTGGAAAAAAAAAATCAAGTTTAGGGGGCTATGTTAAAAGATAATTCATTCTTTAATTTTCTTGATATAATTTTTCAGGAATCTAGTATAAATGCAAAGATACATATTTAGATGCAAGAACTAATAATGGATGTTTTATTCTTAACAGGAAAGTGAGGATAAGAGATCAGTTTTAGGAGTTTGGAGATAATCTGAAATATCTCCTTTACGTGAAAGCCAGGAGCTTAATAAAGGTGAATAAGATATGGTCAAACAAAAGAAGAAAAATTCATTTAGTATTTGATTCATGTTTCTGTGATGTTTTTGGGTAGATGCGGTGAAAGCTTGCACAGATGAGAGCCTTACTGTTGAGGAAAGAGTAGAGACCTGTGTCCCACTTTACACAAACATGATTGTTCTGCAGCAGCTTCTTGAGAGGTAAAACTTAATTGACAAGCAGTTAACCTCATATTAAAAATCAATTTTTCATGTGTTAAGATGTGTATTTTTCTTGTGAAGGTATGAGGCTGCAGTGGAGCTTTGTAAATGTTTATTGGAATCATGTCCCATGAACTGCCAGTTGTTGGAATCCCTTGCTGCTTTATATTTGAAAATGAATCAGCTTGACAAAGCCAGGGCAGTGTGGCTTACTGCATTTGAAAAAAATCCTCAGAATGCAGAGGTTTTTTATCATACATGCAAATTCTTCATCTTACAGGTAAAAAAAGAAGAAAAAAAATTCTTCGTTTTTCATAATTCTTAAATATGATGTTTTTGTTTCACATTCATTTGTCCTTTAAGATGTTTCAGGCATCAGGTTCTCCAGGATGTTTTTTACTGATTGTCTGCCCTTTACAAACTGTGTTAGGTATTCCTTCTCTTTATTACAGAACACCCCATCCATAGTTCAGCCATTGTATCACATTGTAAATTTGCTTATGGCTGCTTTATATACTATACTAAGAACTCCTAGAGGGAAGGGAGCTCCCCTACTCATCACCTAGCACAGAGCCAAACATGTAATAGAGCTTAATGGCTAATTGGTGAAATTGGTGAATGAATTTGCCTGTGGTATATTGAATGTTAAGCTGTTTATTGGTTAGTTCAGTCTGGAGATCAAAATACAAAAGTCATCTCTGCCTCCACCTACTCAAAAAACCTCATCTACTCATTATTTTGGGAGTGATGTTGATAGTGGGCCTTTTCCTCCCTTGAAAGACTTTAATTAATTAATTAGCCTAATGTATATCTCTCCTCCCTCTTTTAAAAATAGAATCGAGGAGATAATCTTCTTCCATTTTTGCGGAAGTTTATTGCATCCTTCTTTAAACCTGGGTTTGAGAAGTATAGTAACTTGGATCTGTTTCGGTAAGTTTGTAGAAGACTGAGAAATGGTGTAGCTTAGTGGAAAGACTACCAGTTTTTGGTGGATTGATTATATTTTAGACTTGATTTTTTTTTTTAAGATACTTGAATACCCTCTTATAGATCTGTTATAAGAGCAATAAAATTTAGTAAAAATGGACACAAAATGTAAAATGCTTTATACTCTGTATTAAGAACACTTATAAAGGAAGTTTTATATTAACACCATGGTGATCCATTCTGCTTTTAATTATTGTCATTGTTAACTTTAGCACTTAATACTATATCAACAAACTGTCCTGAGATAATCTCAGTGATTTATGGAAAAATAAATTTCAAATTATTGGATTGGTGACTTAAGTGAATCTATATAATTTGTCTTTTTGAAAAAAAATTCTGAAGAGGACTACTTCAACTTCCGACTTTAGCGAATTTTCTTTTCAACTACCACTCAGCAGCTTATCGAGAATTCTTTATTTACTACCTTTATTTGTTTCCCTGTGAGTTCTTGTTCTAACAATAAGAGACCATAGCACATCATAAGGAGTGGGTTTTTTGGAGGCTTTTAAAAAGTTCTCTTTTATTCTTCCTCCTCATCTCTCAGTAGGGATCAGCAGAGTTTTTTACTTAAGGGCCAGATAGTAAATATTTTAGACTTGCAAGCCATATGGCCTGTCACTACTAGTCAACCTTGCTTTTTTAACAGGAAAGCAGCCATAGACAGTATATAAATGAATGGGCATGGCTATGTTCCAATAGAAGTTTATTTATGAAAATAGATGTAGTTTGCTGATCCTAAGTAAAATAGCATTGAAAGGAAAATATTTATCATGATAGAACTTTATTATTTTATGTTAGAAAGAGCTGAGAGAAGGAAGGTCTAAGCTGAATATCTCCTAAAAAGTATTCTTATAGAAAATACTGAGCAAAGGTAAAGTCTTGGATTTATATGTGCAAGTCTAATGCTTGCATGCAGTTTTCTTTTCTTAGGTACCCCTTCTGCATCCTGCCTCTCAGTATCGTAATGTTATATAAAAACGTATTTTCAAAAATAACCCACATTTTGTTAAGTCAGTGGTTTACCTGCCATAGGTTTTGAAATTTGACAAAAAAAAGTTTGGGGTCACTGCCCTTTACCAGACTTGAGTCTTTTCTTCTGTCCTCTGATGGTTGCCAGTTTATTGACCTCGCGATTTTATTTATTTTTCTCATTTATTTCTATTAGTCGGAGTCTAATTACTTTACAGTATTGCAGTGGGTTTTCTCACACATTGACATGAATCAGCCATGGAGTTACACGTATTCCCCATCCCGGTCCCCCCTCCCACCTCCCTCTCCACCCGATCCCTCTGGGTCTTCCCAGTGCACCAGGCCCAAGCACTTGTCTCATGCATCCAACCTGGGCTGGTGATCTGTTTCACCCTAGATAATACACATGTTTTGATGCTGTTCTCTCGAAACAGCCCACCCTCGCCTTCTCCCACAGAGTCCAAAAGTCTGTTCTGTACATCTGTGTCTCTTTTTCTGTTTTGCATTTGGGTTATCGTTACCATCTTTCTAAATTCCATATATATGTGTTAGTATACTGTAATGGTCTTTATCTTTCTGGCTTACTTCAATCTGTATAATGGGCTCAAGTTTCATCCATCTCATTAGAACTGATTCAAATGAATTCATTTTAACGGCTGAGTAATATTCCATGGTGTATATGTACCACAGATTCCTTATCCATTTGTCTGCTGATGGGCATCGAGGTTGCTTCCATGTCCTTGCTATTATAAACAGTGCTGCGATGAAGATTGGGGTGCATGTGTCTCTTTCAGATCTGGTTTCCTCGGTGTGTATGCCCAGAAGTGGGATTGCTGGGTTTACCTCAGTTTTTAATTGAGGAAAGCTGATACTCTTAGAAGTTAAGTGATTAGCTCATGGTGGTACAGCTAGTTATGTACAAGCTGGGATGATAACTTCTAGGTTTACCTTTTTTTCCCTATCTTATGGCTCCCCACTCAATCTTCCCCACCCCAAACCCCATACAGCCTCTCTAATACATTAAAACGTAGTCCCTTGAAACAATTTTTTAAATCCAGTTGATTGTCCTTGTTGAAATCAGTGTATTTCCTTTAAAAACATTGTTCCTGAAGATGCTGGTAGTGTTATACACACAGATTCAAATACATTGGGGAAACCTGAATTAGCAAAGTCAAAAAGATAGTTTTTAGTATCCTTTAGTATTGTGGCTTTTTAAGAGCAGACTTTATTTTGCAGTATTTCTCAAGTCTTATTTGATCATAGACCTCTTTTTGACAAGTGCCTTATGGGCCAGTATGTTATAGAATACACTTTGATATGTCTAAAATTAAGTATAGTGGTATTTGTATGTATGTTATGTGAGGGGGAAACAGCTTTCAGATATGAAGTTTTGTAACTCGAATTTTTTCTTTACAAGAATGTACAGATTTTGTGGGAAAATTGTAGATACTTGGTAGTCTCATTTGTTCTCTAATTTTAATTAGATTTCATTAGATGATTATGGTGGTTTGTTTAATTTGAGCTAAAAATTTTTTAAAATTTGTTTTAGAAGAATTATTTAAGTAAATGGTGGTGGTGGTTTAGTCGCTGAGTCGTGTTCAACTCTTATGACCCCATGGACTGTAGCCCACCAGACTCCTCTGTCCATGGGATTTCCCAGGCAAGAATACTGGACCGGGTTGCCATTTCCTTCTCCAGAGAGGTTCTTCCTGATCCAGGAATTGAACGTGGGTCTCCTGCATTACAGGGAGATTCTTTACCAACTGAGCTACAAGGGAATCCCATTTAAGTAGGTAGAAGATAATAAATACATGATGCTAGAGATGTGACCAAAATGATATGGTATATACCCGAAAATAAAGTCTCATTATGTTATAAAAATATTTCAAGGAAATTTTAGTTGAAACTGAGGACTTTTTAAAAAGTATTAATAATCCATATGTACATAGACATAATTTTAAAGAGTATGATTTTTTTCCCTTAGGTATCTCCTGAATATTCCAGGACCACTTGACATTCCAGCCTGTTTATGTAAAGGAAATTTTGATGATGAAATGTTTAACCACCAAGTTCCTTATTTGTGGCTGATATACTGGTGAGACATCTACTGTGGAGAGAAATTATGCATACGAGGCTTGCACTTGTTATTTACTACTGAATTACACTATATTAAAATTAACCTGTTGTTAAAATCATTGAAGCAGAATTGAAGGGATGCTAAGGTTTATTCATTATTAAAGAAGATCAAAAGAAGGATTCCATTGTAATAATATCTGTAGTGTTTATAGTTTGTCATTCCTTTATCTAATTGAATTGAGCTGTAGACATACAATGTTTTCCTTCATTTTTCAAACAGCCTTTCTCATCCTCTTCAATCAAGTATTAAAGAGACAGTGGAGGCATATGAGGCAGCATTAGGGGTGGCCATGAGATCTGATATAGTGCAGAAGATTTGGATGGAGTAAGTTTAGTTCCTCTTAATGGGATTTGAAATAAGGGAAATTGGTTGGGTTTCTTGTTAGAGAATTACTGGCTCAATTCTAAATTATAATATTTTTCTTTTGGCAGTTATCTTGTCTTTGCCAATAATAGAGCTGCTGGATCCAGAAACAAAGTCCAAGAATTCAAATTTTTTACTGATTTAGTGAATAGATGTTTGGTTACAGTCCCTGCCCGATACCCCATTCCTTTTAGCAGTGCTGATTATTGGTCCAACTATGAATTTCATAATAGGGTAAGAGTTTAAAACTTTTTTTCTGTAGATATTTGTACAAAAGAAGGGTACTTAAATGATAGCAAAACTGCTGTTTAATATCAGGAGAGCTTTTCTTAGGACCACCTTGCTAGCATTTACTATTATTCTTGACCTTGTTTTCTATTTATCTCTTCAAAGTCTCAAAACAGACCTTTAAAGTTCAGTTAAGATAAATGTGCCATATTAATTATGTCCTACTTAAGCAAATTTAACATTGAAGCACAAGTGAAGCGATATTAAGGTTTAATACATATTAAAAAAAGATCAAAAGAAGTAATTGTAATAATATCAGTAATATTTTTCTTGAGTAATTGGAAATTTTACTGAATGAAAAACTCCGTAACTTTAAAATTAATAATAATGTCCTTACATGTTGTAGCTGCCCTTTTTATCAATATTTTGTCAAGCAAATATAGGCATACATGGGACATAAGAAAGCTGAAATCAGATGACATTTGGAATTTTAAAAATAGAATCTGAATATTGGTATATTTATAAGGTCATCATCTTATAGGCAGTGAAGCAAAGTGTTCTTTTAAAATTGTTTTATTTTCAGAGACCCCCATCATTCAGTGCAGTGTAAGCTAAAAGCTCAGTGTAGACTAAAACATCTCTGTGTTTTATTTATTTTTTTGGTGGGTTGGTTTTGTTGCTAATCAGGATAACCAATTACTATGCTTTGTACTTCTATGCCATTCTTTATCCCAGGATCTCAAACCACTTTATGGACATTAAGTCATTTATACACAGGCATTCCATGAGCAAGATGTGGCAGGTATTATTAGCCCTATGACTTGCCCAGATATACACAGCAAGTAAAGGTAGACTCAGGGATAAAAACCCGGACTCCAGGCTTCTTGTCAGTGTTCTCAGTCCATGGCTGTCATCACTGGATCATGTTTCCTAATTCATACTCAGAAAGTCACTAATACAATTAGTGATAGGAACTGTAACTCACAGCATCATACATTATTATAATTTATACATTCATGTCTTAAAGACCATTTTAGTTTTCTCATAAAAACACATAGGTAATTGGATTTCACATTTTGTTGCATTCCTTTCCCCCCTCAACCTTTACAGGTTATTTTCTTTTATTTGAGCTGTGTTCCAAAGACCCAGCATTCCAAAACCTTGGAACGGTTTTGCTCAATTATGCCAACTAATTCTGGACTTGCACTGAGGTAAGGAAAAATAAAATTCTCAGTTCAGTTGTATTGGCCCTTCATATAAAATGATTCTTGAAAACTTACTAAGAATAGTCGGTTCTTTCACTATTTCCTCATTCCACTTTAATTTCAGAGCTGTTAAGCAATATGTAGTTTTTCATGTAAAAGTGATTGTAAAAATCTGGTCACTTCAGAAAACTGCAGATTATGGAGAAGGAAATGGCAACCCACTCCAGTATTCTTGCCTGGAAAATCCCATGGACGGAGGAGCCTGGTAGGCTACGGTCCGTGGGGTCGCAAAGAGCCAGACACGACTGAGCGACTTCACTTTTGCCCAGAGCCCACATCTGTGAATCTGGATTCTGGCTAAATACGATTCCACGTTTGTACTGGTGTCAAGATACAGAGGCCAAGGTTCTTGCTATCAATTTCAACCTGGAAGAAATACTAATAGCCACCACTTATTAAGTGCCTACTGTGTGCCAGGCTCTGAACTTGGTGCTTCATATACATTATTCTAAATTCTCACAACCAGTAAGGTAGGTGTTTGAATTCCCATTTTATAGAACCCCAAACTAAGTCTTTGAGTGGTGTGCCTAGAGCCATGTGGCTAATGAGTCTTAAAGATAAGGTTTGAGGCGGGTCCCTCTGCTTTTTCTGCTAAGCTACACAAGCTCTATTCATATCAAAATCTTCCAGAGTGCAAATATATTCTGATTTATTCCAGGCTACTGAAAGCTTTCACAATATCTCAGTAGCAAATGAATTGCTTTATCCTTGACACTGTCTCAGTGGTGAATTTAATAAAATATTCTTGTATGCTGTGGAAATTTTGCCAATATAGTATTTCGTCTAGTGACAGGTTTTTATGGGTGCTTTTAGACAATCTAAAAATTAGCATATGTTTTTAAGGTTTATTATTTTAGGAAAACTTGAAGGTTTCTACAACATATTATTTCACTTATTCACATATGAAGGAATCAAGATTCTTGTATTTGAATTCCTTCCTTCCTGGTGGGTTAATGTGAAAAGAGGTTGGCTGATTCCTAGAACTCTGTCAGCTCTGAAATAATCTCCAGGTCCTGGTTGAAACATTCCACGTTGATTCCTGGGAAGGAAGCTTGTTGGCTTGGCCACCAGTGTCTGGGGCCAGTCAGTGTACTGTGAAGGGGCATCTGTTGTTCCTTGGTGAAATCTACAACCACTGTCTATACCAGACAGTTGCATTGCTATCAAGTTTCATACCAAATATTTGGAAGAACGGTACTGAATCTATAAAACCAGATCTCAGTTTTTATTGAATTCATGGAAAAGCTAATATATTTCAACATAATTATTACAACTAGCTAAAGTGATCACATTTTAATTTATTTTAATGTAAATATTTTTATGTTACTGTTCTGAGCCAAATTCTAAAGAAAAAATAAATTATTTCCTTGTGGAAAAAAAAAAAAGAAAACTGCAGATTATAAGGGGACAAGAGTGAAAGAGAAAAGCAGTCATCCATATATATTTTAGTTACTATAACTTCATTTAGGTCAGTCATTCTTAAATATTAGCATGCATCAGAATCTCCTGGGATACTCATTTAAAATGCAGTTTCCTGAGTTAGAGCTCTCTAATGACGTTGGAGAAACACTCATCCAGGGATTTCATACATTCAGTTATTTTTTTTTTTTTTGAGAGCATTTGTTTGTAGTTCTTCTGCTCTCATAGAATAAAATCCATTTGAACTGTGAACAGTTGATGTAAAAAGGTGCCCTGGGCACTGCTGCTCTGGCTTCTACTTGTGCCGTCATTTCCACTGCAGCAGTTGTGTCTTACGCCTCTAAGCTTGTTTTACGGGCTACAAGGTGCCTAAGGACTTCTCAGGTGGCTCAGTGGGAAAGAATCCGTCTGCCGATGCAGGAGACACAGGAGAAGCGGGTTCTATCCCTGGGTTGGGAAGATCCCCTGGAGGAGGAAATGGCAACTCACTCCAGTATTCTTGCCTGGAAAATCCCATGGACAGAGGAGCCTGGCGGCCTACAGTCCATGGGGTCACAAAGAGTCGGGCACGACTTAGCGACTGAACATGCACTCACACAAGGTGCCTAAAGTAGTTATCAAATATTCCTTTATGTTTACATTCCGCTTAGCATGTATGTGGGAAAATGATGTAAGAGATTGAAAAAAATTCAAAAGCTAAGACTATGACAAAAATAACAAAATAACACTGCAGTGTTTTGTAATAAAAATTCTCAGTAAGCATGCTAATCTACCAAAGTTAATTACAGAAATTTGTATTATAAATCATCACTTTTGGTAAAACATGTGAAATAGAAAATGTAGTGGTAGTTGACTAGTTTCTGTAATGGTGGGTATTTTGGAACATAGGTAGTTTAATTGTTGGTTTTGTTGGTGAAGCTCCATTTTTGATCATTCGTATTTCCTTATAGTCATTCCTGTCCTATTTCTTTCAGAATAGAGAACTTAATAATTAGTCAGTATACTTGTTACATTTTAGCTCAAGGAAATTAAGTATACTCTGTTTAGTAAAGAAAGAAAAATACCAAAAAATCATATTAATATATCAATTCATTATTTTAGAAGACTTGGGGCTTAAAGGAGGGGCATGTAGAGTGTTAATTTGGAGAGGTGCTTTGGTATCCTGTAGGAATATGTATTACTTTGTTGAAGATGGTATGGACCTTGACTGGACCTTTTGCTAGTTTGCATGTTTCTTTCCCAGGGTAATTTTAATAAGAGGCTTTCTACAAATACTTGCTGAATAGCCTTAATGGACTTTAATGGATCAAAAATTATAACTAATCAAACATTCTGCTCATAGAGCACATTTGAGGTTCCTCATACTTGGAATGCTTTTGTTCATTTCCCTGAATGTACTTTACAGGCTCCTTCAACATGAATGGGAAGAAAGCAATGTTCAGATTCTGAAGCTTCAAGCCAAGATGTTTACATATAATATCCCAACATGCCTGGCCACCTGGAAAATGTAATGCAGCAATCTTGTACATGTTCTTATAGCAATTGCTTTTATTTATAAGGTTTGCTCCAGACAGGTAAATCTGAAATGACATCTGTTTCTCCCCCCGGAGAGATCTCTAATTTAGATTAATTTTCCTTGAAGGAGACATGTGGATAACAATACTGTTATCAAACAAATCTGTTAAACACATTTTAAGAGTGATCTCTTTTGAAATGCAGGGTTTTACCCCTGTTATAATTGGATGTCTTCTTTCTTTTATAGGTGTTAGTGCTAAGTATTTTTTTTTTTTACTAGCGATTATTAGTATTTTTCATGAACCTTAATTTATGTTCAGAACACTGGTCTGCTTTATTATTGTAAAGTTGATAAAAATTGTTGAATTTTTCTTTTCACTATAGGTTACCCTCCTTGGAAGTTTAGCCTGTTACTTTCAGGAAGTTTTGTTCTCAGATTCCCACAGTCAGTATTCTGCGAGTGGTAGTATTTCATTTTGTTCAAAGATATATAAATTTTTTTTTCCCTTTTCTATATTCCTTTTTTTTTCCTTAGAGCCATTGCTGCTGAGATTGTTCTAAAGGGACAAAGAGAGGTAAGCCATGATTATCAGATGGGTTGCTTTTTTTTTTTTTAAGTAGTTATTCTGCCCTTTTTGTTGATGTCTCAATTTAAAAGGATTAAAGTATAAAGGTTAACATCCTAAGAACTCCACACGTTTGGAAACTCCAAAACCCAATATAACTATTTTGTCTTGAATGTTATTATATTATGAAGTACCATTCAGATGGTTAGGATTATGAAGGGGCTTTTCACTACATTTCCTGATGCAGTTGTATATATATCTATCTTATAGGTCCACCGTTTATATCAGAGAGCCTTACAGAAGTTACCTCTTTGTGCATCACTGTGGAAAGATGTAATGCTTTTTATCTTTTATTTCATCTTGAAGTTTTCCTATAAATTTTCTGCATGTGCCATATCCATTGATGTGGTAATGCTCAAAATCTAGCTAAGTCTTACTTCTATGCTTCCCTGTCTTTTACAGCAACTCTTGTTTGAAGCATCAGAAGGAGGTAAAACTGATAACCTGAGAAAACTAGTTTCCAAGTGCCAAGAGATTGGAGTCAGCCTAAATGAGCTCTTAAATTTAAACAGTTACAAAACAGAAAGCAAGAATCACTGAACACTGGGTGCAGTCAGTTCTAAGTCCTTATAATAATTGCCAAAATTATTTGAATGATCCTTCAAGATTAGGCTGATCCCTGGCTAAGGTCTGTGTAAGGCAGACAAGCATTACTGATCATATCAAGTCCCCTACAATATCCTATCCTCAAAACCGGAAGCAATGAACATGACCCTCTTCGGTTGGATAAATGAACTTCCTGTTTGGCCTGCTTCTAGGCCCTGCCAGATTCTCATAACATCATGTACGTAAGTATAGTTCCTCAAAGTGACTGACATTTATTTTCATTTTGCTTTGTTTTTGTTTTTATTTTTTACTTTTCCCCCTTCCTTTATGTTGTGCTATTCCTGATTCACTTGACACTCTCTGATGCCTGAGAGATTCTTGTTTGGGATTTAATTTCCAGGGCTGTGTTTACAGTAAAAAGCCGGCAGTCCCTTTTAGTTTTTCCTCTTTAAACCTTTTGAGATTCTTCATTTCAGGATTTAAAACTTAAGCAGTCCATCTTAAGGAAAGTGTAACTGCCATGGCCACAAGTCTGCTAGTTGCACTTGAATGCTCTAACAGGGTTGTTTATTGCCCTTTCTACGTTCTGGACTCCTTGCCGAGACTGTTTAACTTGAAGATTAAAGAAACTATTGCAAATGCCAGTGCATCAGAACCTAAGAGTGGTCAAATATTATGTGCAATTTTTTTGTAAAGAAATTTTAATTTATAATAAAGTTTAACAGTTTAAAGAACAGTTAATATTCGAACTGCTTTGTATGGCAATACTACTTTGTAGTATTAAAATTGTTTATAAAATATTTTTAATATAAGTTAACTTTTTGAAAAATGTTGCTGTCTTTATTCACTTTGCACATTCTGGTGGGAAAGGGTTGAAGTAGGAGATACGGATATTCACTTTCTTATCCTGAACATGCTTTCCCATAAAAACATTCCATTGTCTTTTCAAATTCATGAGAAGGGTGGGTCCTTTTCTGTTGTGAAGACAGTGAACATATAGACTTGTACTACTGTTAACATTCCTTTTTCTTAAGCCCATAGTATTTAGAAAGTTTTCCCAATTATAGTGTGAATGACTTACTTAATGACTGCTGTCTTATGTTGAATATCAATATGACTCCATACAAAGGATACTTTTTGTTTTGTTATCAGTCTATAGTGGATTGTTTGCACTTGATGAAAAATTGTTAATGACACGCACACACACTGCCACAAATGTGGTCTTAACAGCTACAAGTACAATCTAATCATTGAAGGCAGAGCAGCAGCCCCATGAAATACTAGGGAAATTTATACATCTGTACGTTTTTATAATGCTTAGTTAAAGCCATGTTTGAGGCTCTACTAATGTGCCAACCAGACAGTGCAGATATCACTAGTAAGTACTGTTTGGTGAGGTCAGGCAGAGAACCCGTTTGGCCAGTATGTTTCATTAAACCAAAAAAAAGCTATATAGTTTTTATCTAAAACCAAAGAGATTTGAGTAGAAGATAGTATCTCTGAGGGGTGTTCCTCCAATGTATGCACTTAACTGTTTAACCTTGAAAGTTTTTCCTGCCTGATGATTTGAAAAGCACTGTTAGGTGCTTGGAAAAATACTGTTTTTTTTCCCCCATAGTGTAATATTTTTGGTATTAATTGAATATCTCAGTAGTTTTTAGAGACAGTGCTAAGTTTTGAACTTTGGTTCAAAACCTGTCATTTGTTGTATTAACAATTCCATTGGCATGACTGTTGCCTCTTTTTCTTTCCCCTTTAAAAAAGAATGCTTTGCGTTGGTGTGTGCAACTGTAACATCCAGCCATGCAGACTGTCCATTGTACCAACTCCCAGAGATCCCAGTTCACATGTGTACCAGTCATGCAGGCTGTGACTTAGCTTGAGGTCTTAGCATATGTTAAGCAGCTGTTTAATTTTTAATCACTTGTCATATGGCTACTTAAAATCATGAAGCTATTTTATAGAAATTATACTGCCTTAAAGATAATACCATGTTTTTTCTCTACCTTTTTATAAACTCACTTTAACCTTCCCCCCAAAATAGTAAACATTGCTTACGAGTGTGGTGTATGTTCCTGTCATCCTTCCATATTCATCTGTTGTTTGATGAAGTGTTTTCAACAAGTAATAATTAGAATATTAAACAAAACTTAGGGTTAAAGTTGATAGAGTTATTGTAGTAACATGAATATAATATTTAACATACTGTATGACTGAAGTCTTTGCTTGGGCAAAGAATGTTATACAGGGTGAAGAGATTAGTCATTGAGAACTGCAGTTCCTTACACTCTTCCACTCCTGTCATGGGGGAAAACAAAAGGGATTTTTTAGGCTATGGGGTTTTATCTCTGATAAAGGAAGTGGTGTGGCAGATTGCGGTGTATTTTTATGTGTTTTTCTTCATTTTAGGGAACAGCCTAATATTTCTATTTACCTTTTAACGGAAAGTGGACCTTGTGACATTGTTGTCACTGGATTATCTAAGGCGGTTTGCTTTCAATTAAAGGGCATATAAACCTACATCATAAAGCAGGCAGGAATCTCCAGGTGCAACATCTAAGGGCTAAAGGCACTAAGCAGACAGAAGGTGACTAAGACTGACAGCAACTGGAGGGCCTTTGTTGAAGGTTGTAGTGCAAATATTTACTTTTCAAGGTTGAAAAAGTAGGAACACGTGGCTATAATACAAAACAGGGGCCAGTATTCCTGCTTAAAGCTGTCGTGTATTCACAGATAAGTCATAGTTTCCTTAAGTCACTTGCTCCCATATCTCTGTTAACATTAGTGCGAGGGAAGAATGGGAAAATACAATTTAAGTGACCTTGCAATTTGAGGATATTGCCTGCCCGTATATCATTGCCCCTTAGTACAAATTAACAGTAATTATACAGAGCATTTTGGAACAAGAGCTTTTCAAGAGAAGGCAGGCTTCTAAGGGTATTTTTTGTATTCTTTTTTGTCCTTCACAGTTTAACAATTGGGTCTCTGTCTTTCCAAGCTGTGGTGGTACTTAATGCAGGTGGTATTGCTGAGCTGAAAAGGGAGGACTTTTTAATTTTTAAAAAAATTTTAGGATTGTATTCCATATATCACCAAAAAACATCCCTTGGCTTTCTGAGGTATTCTTCAGACGTGTGTTCACTATTCAGGGGCCAGTGAACAGCCCCCTAAGGATGCGTGGCCCCATCCTGTTTTTCATTCCCATCTTGTACCAGCACTCACATAGCCTTCCTCAGTAACACTTGATTGAGATACGTGCAATAATTGTGAAAAGAGTTTTTCGTTTTTTTCTCTGACATATTTGAGGTAGATAATAGAAAGCAGTGTCTGTCTTTCATAGATGGTACAATGGCTATTGAATTTATCTCCACTTTCCTTTAGTGATCTTCACAAGAGGGACCCAACAGCATATTTTCAGAGGACCCACAGTGAAGAGTCAGGCATTTTTTCATTCCAGAATCAATTTGAGCACTGTATTATACACTTGCAATACAAGGAGAAATAAAGAGGTCCCTGAGTCTTAACAGAGCAGAAGAGTATTTGCCAAGAAAGCATTTCCAAAAAGCCTCCATATTTGGAGAAATTTGGGGAGATTGGGAAAGTGTTCCCAGATGGAAGTGAATTATTGGCTAAGTCACAAAACAGGAGGAGAAAAAGTTGAGGTCAGTAATACTATTTTCAAAAAGTATGTACTACTATATACCTGAGTATTATAAGACAGTTTGCAGTGTTTAGAAAGCTGTTTTTAAAACTTCCTAAAAAACCTCTCTGGCTTTGTGCACAGCTGACAATTTGTTAGACACGATGCAGGTAAGATGTGAAACTCCATAACAGCCATGTCGATCTAAAAGAGAGACCTCTTGAGACGTTCTGTGCTTCTAAATCCTGATGAGCAGGACTGAGTGGAGGCAGCCGTGTCAAGCTCAGTTTAAACAGCCTTGACATAGAAAGTTAGATTGGCGTTGCAGCTGCTTCTGCTTTTTTTTTTTTCTTTTTTCCCCCCTAACTTTGGGTAATGTGTGAAAAAAAAAATGCTACATTGAACATTTATTAGTATTAACAACTTGTAGAGCTCTGTTTCATTGCTACTCAAGGCTATAAGATATATTTTATGAATCTGTTATGAATGATTTGTATAGAAAAACTACCCGGAGATGGCCCAGCCTTCAATGCTTTAAACTGATTTTTCCAGATGACATATTTTAACCCAATCCCAGAAATAATTCAACTGATAGGAACTCACTAGTGCCAGGAGAAAATTAATATAGTTGGGGAGCAAAAAATTTTGCATGATCTTAAAAGGAATAGGTGCTTCTTGGTTTCAACAAGAAAGCAGAAGATCTGAAATATTTGAGGCCAATTCAACTGGTCTTAAGTGATGTGACTATGGTGAATGCTGGTGGATCTCAGTGCTTTCCTCCAGTTTAAAGACGCAACTTATGGGTAGGAGACAGTGAATAGAATGTTAATATGAGTCAATTGTATCACAAATACCATGTAGAATAATGAGTGTTTTGCTTCTGTGTAAGGCTCTTTAGTAAATTTTGGAGCCCACCCAAAGAGAGAAACAAATGACTCTTAAAGGCCATCTTCAATAAAGTAAAAGCCTAAATCCAAACATGAAGGCTATTTGCACAGCTGTTCTAAAAGAGAATATACTGCATTTGCCCTTTACTTGGTAATTTGAAAGCTTCAAGATTAATTATCATTTCAGCCAAAATCAAAGGTGGGTTTACAACATTGTTTGGTCTACCAAGTAAATTAAATCTTGCAAATGTTCTTACCTAGTGATGTAAGCCTTATGAAATGGAATGATAGCCAGCAGCCTAAGGGTGCTGAACCAATTAGGACGGGTGATAGAAGAGTTGGTGAGCTGTCTGCATTAATGGAGATAATCAGGACATCTACAGCCAAGGCCAAAACAAACACTCAACTTGGCACAACTTACAGTCCAAATTAGACTGCCTGTGGATGTATTTGGCACTTCATGCTGA